CTTACTTATAACCTGCATACTATCGCACTCGAGCAACAGTTTAGTGGTATGTAGCAATGGTGTCAATTGTGCACCCATTTCGGCAGCCAGAGCCTCCGCCATCTCCACGCTCCATCCACTAGACATCTGTTTTGCTGCAGCCAGTTGAAACTTCCCATAACTGTCCCGAGCAACCACTCCCAGCCCAATATCATCATTCGAGAAATTAGCTACATCTGACGTAATTGAAATCCACCCTGGTTTCAGACGGGTCTAGGACTTGATTATGCTTTCATGCGTGCTTGCCTAATCTTTGAGGGGTCGTTTGGAAGTTGCGAATGTTAAATCATTGCATTGTAATGAATCGCAACAAAATAAATACATGTATTGGTACAATGAATGCATTTTAATAATAATTGTTTGGTTGATGAGATTATACTTTATGTATTGACTAACATAAAGTTACTTTGTGAAAATGTCACATTTATCCTCAACTTTTAGTATAAGATAAAAACTAATAGGGATATAAATGGAAAGAAAAAGTGGACACAAATCTAAAATCAACAATCTCAACTTTTATTGAGATTGTATAATGCATCATTTTTCGTGATTGTTGGTGGGACCTACCTAAAACAATAGATGGATTGTTTTACACTTTGACACTTCCAAACATTGTATTGTGGACAATGGATGTATTGAATAAACACAACTCTAACAATCACAACTACCAAATGACCCCTCGGGGAAGAAACCCGCCCTCGCTACAATGGTATCTTCAGGAGATTTGTTAGCACTTTTGGTGATGGATGATATGAATTTAAAATTATTTATGGTTAGTGGTAAATTCATTCACAAACTAGAGTATTATATATATTTTTATCTTTATGTTATAGCGCATGACCAAGGTTGTCAACCCGCGGGTTGACCCGGACCCGGTTGAGCTAGTGGGTCACGGGTTAATGGGTCAATCGTTTTAGCCCGGTTTGGCCCGGAAATATAGAAAGAGTCATTATATTGTACTTATCCTCATAAATTATATCAAATCTTATCTAACATATGAGTTATAACATATAATATTACACCAAAATAATATATCGTACTTAGATCCAACATATAGTGAAAATTCACACACACTTATATAACATAAATATTCAAATGTTCAACTTAGTATTCCAAAGATTGAGTTAGGCGAAAAGAAAAATTGGAAAATATGCACATTTCGCAAACTAAAGAAAAAAATGACACAATTTGACCTCCAACCCGGTACCTTATAGCGGTCGGCCCGGCGGGTGCGTGCGGCCCGTTTTTCTCACCGGGTCAGGGTCAAATTGGGTCGACCCGTGGGTCAACCCGCGGGTTGACAACCTTGCGCATGACAGTCCTATCAACGGTTAACCACTGAACCATAAACCACCAAATTTTTTCGATTCACCATTCATTCCAACTTTGAAAACAAAGGTATTATTTAAGTTTGAAATTTAAGCTATAAAAACTACAACCCAATTTAATTTCTTAACAAATTTCGATTGAGTAAACGAGTCCGGTTATAATTTTCAGGTCTATCAAACTACCACAATTACTGAATTGCACTATTGATTCTCATTTTAGCGGCTGCCACGCTTGGGCAATTGGACTAATGAGATCTCTATTAGAAACATTTTGGCTAACAACCTAGGGTTTTGTTTAATTAGGTATAGATTTTGCCACAGATTTCAGTATCTTTGAAGTGTTTAGTGTTTTTTGGGAATTGGGAAGTGTTTAGTGTAGATTCCACGATGGAAGGAGTATCCCACACTGTTGAGCTTGCATTAGTGGGATAAGATTAGGTGAGGTGGTGGGCCTAATCAAATCTCTCTCGTCCAATCAACATTTCAGGGATGATTACGACCCACCAGCACAGAATTTATCTGAAGAACCTCTGCCAAATACTAATAGAATTTATTAATTAACCAAACAGAGATATCCTTCCCTCTCCCTTTCAGTTTCGGGAAGACAGCGACCAATGACTTGAAAAACATATTTTTCCAATTCTTTTGTTCATTTATTTTGAAAAAAATAGAAGGGTATGGGAGTTATACAATCAAATAGTAAGACCATCCACATCAATAGTATTTGATCAATTATAAACTCTACATGACTATTAATATGCAATTGCAAAGAAAATTGCATTAATAAGGTGGACACTTGGAAAGATGAGGTTTGCATATGATAAAATTGAGGATGCAGGTCATGTACAAAAACAAATATAATAAATTTTTTCCTCCTTTTATTTATTTATTGCTTTGATTTTTTATTAAAAAAGTCAGTTGAACCCATCAATCTTTCTAATTGATCGCGTTGATGTAGATGCAAGAAAACCAACATATATGTAACTACATACAAATTGAGGTGGTAAAAGGTACTTGATCGCGTGTAGTATGTGTATGCAAAATTACTTGGTCCGTAGATTAGGATCACGTTCCTGGCTAGTGAAGCAAGCTCCCCCTATAGTTCCTTCGGCTCGCAACCTTGATCTTGGCACCATATGAGCTGCTTGATCCATGTGAGATCTATTTCTACCTTGTGTGACGACATTTACCCAAACTAGTAAGCAATAAGGACCCTGCATATTTCTCCCTTGAGGTCTCGCGCAGTCCAATCTATTGATGATCGATCGGTTAGGATGTTCATGTCTGTTCTCTCCCAACGTGAAGTCAGATTACGAAATAAACATCTTGAGGGGATGTTTGGCTTCGACTAGGCTCACAACCAATTGATAATTAGATAACACAATGAGTTACATAGCCAAAGAACCGCTAGTGTTCGCAAGCCTATGCAGCTAAGGAACTAGCCGACCATGAGGACAAGTTTCTGGGAGACATCAGTCGAAACAAAATTCCAAGAAATCCCTTTAAATCGCCATCCAGAATAGAGACTCAGCAACTTCGGCGTCGTTTCTGGTGTTGATATACCCTTAGTCCGACTTCGCTCCAAGTATGCGAGAGTCACTCTGTCGACGGAGTAACAACCCTCTAATTCCACCTATCTCTAGCTACCAAACTTCTACCCCCCCCCCCCAGGGTTCTATTTATATTCATCACGGTTTATGAAAGGAAAAGTCTGCCTAAACATATTTCCAAGTTCATTTTGGTCTCTTCCAGGTTGGCCACCACGTATGGCATATTCGTTGAGATTCTGGCCTCGATCTAGAGACCCTCCAGAACGGCGACAAAGGTGCCGCTTTAGGTTATAGTCAATTGTTTCTGGCGTTGTTTTTTGGGCTTTATCTAATCTCACATTCTGACTCCTAGCAGCCAAGCCTGGATGTTCCCCTACTCGTATAAGGTGGTCCACTACGATGCTATGACCCGAAAACACATGTAACAACACCAAAAGTGTATCAAAATAGTAAAATCGATCCTAGATATACTAAAATACACCTTGAGTGATGTTAATCAAATACAAGCTATTATGAAATTAAAGATGTGAAAACCATACAATTCTAGCCATAATAAAAAGGGTATAAAGTAATACTTTCTATGTGTCATCGGTACCATATAAGAAATCGGTTTTGCAATTGTATTGGCGTGTATGACCTACGAATGAGTCAATGTCAATTCAAAGTTCTTCATGTTGAGACACTGACAGTGGGTGGAGACCGGTATCACAAGCCCAAGTAGTGGCGGAGCTACTTGGTAAGCTAGGGGGTCACAGCCCCCTTTGTCTAGCAAAAAAAATTCCACCACCAACAGTTAGTAAGGCCTCAAACAAATAACCAACTACCGACAAGTTGACTTTCTTCCATCTCAGCTACGTTAGTTTTGTAATTCTGCTCTCTTTCGTTCATATTTACATTAGCAAATTGTTCTGAAACCTCCAACTATAATAGTTATGTCCCACAAACATTTTGACGAAGTCAATTATCAGTTTTTGTAATCTATTACTGGCTTAAATCCTCATTTGCTACTTTCGGCTAGGAGAAACTTATTCAACTGACTACTTTCTACCCCCTACAACTTCCCTCCAAATATTATGAAGTTTCTTGGTCATCAGCTGAATTCATATATCTGTGATCCACCATTGATGACAAGTTCAAAGACTTACAAGCGGTAGTTAGAAAAAAAAATATGGTGGAAACAAATAATTAGCACAAATAGTATCCATCTGTTTAATTATTTGCTACTCAATTTGACGCTTATTCTACCTATGGCAACAACCAACGTAAAGATATAATTTTCATCCATGTACTATATCAAGAACGATCTTCGAAATCAGATGAATGATTTGTAGTTGAACGTTGCATCAGTGACATATTGAATAAGATTTGTGTGCTAGTTTGGACCAAAAATGTATTCAATACTTTCTGAATATGAAATCTCGTCGAGGTTTCTTGAAGGCGATGTTCGTAGAACTATTATTATGTAATTGTACGATTCTTGATTATTATGTACTTGCCTTTTTTTTAGAGTTAACTTTTCTATTATGTACTTGATTTTTTCATGATAAGGAGCCTACTCAACATATGTCAGCCTTGTATTATAGTTTGACAATCTCCTTCAAGAAGACTGGACAATGCAAACCTCTTACATCTACAGAAAGAGCAATTTCTTAATCGATTTCCTAACGAACAACGGCCTATCTATAGTCATGGGTTTAAACTTTTCATTTGTGAGTCTACCCGAACGTTACTTATTGACTTTTGTATGACACCTTTGAGATTTCTACTCCGCATAATATTAATAATTATCATATAATTGAGCATATCCTTCAATCCGATAAATCTCAAAGAAAATTCTATCCAATTACCCCAATCTTGCATCATATTAAGGATTTCACCAGAGCCTATGCGTCACAAAATTACAATTCAGGTAAAACTTGAATCCAACACCTTAAAAAAGTTACAGCGATGGTGTGACGAGGACTTCCCCAATTTACAAGTCCTAATGCATATTATTTTATAGGGCACAGTGTCTTGTTAGTTGTTTATTTTTCCATGTCAATTTCTACGTAGAACCAAAAGACAACAACTGACACAAAATGGTACCCCATGAAATTCAGCAGAAAGAAGTGGGATTTGCATACAAATGTTCTCTACCAATAAGGAGAGGAAGAAGTGCACAAATAGTAGTAAGTAATCAGTCCAAAAATGAGAGGCTACAAGCTGTGGGCATACAGTACATAGCTTCCTCCCAAGAATGGAATGATTGATTCTCTCATTCCATAACCCAAATACTTGGTACCTGTAGAAAGAACATTATCCTAGAAAACAGCCACAGAAAGTCTTTTCGGAAGAGGAAATTAGATATCCGACCTTCGGTTAAAGTTCTTCCATCTGCAAGCTGATAGACAAATCCATGAGAAGGTAGCTGGAAATTTGGCCCAAACGAGGAGACTTATAAGTTCGAACAATGATGATTACACAGATTCTTCTCCTATGCAGACAGGAGAAGGCGGTATTTCACGTGTCTCAAACCAAGGGCTTAATTAAACCTAATAAGACTTGGGGACTCACTCAAACTTAAGGTTGTCTTTCTTCTACATGACTGACTAGACACCCCACTCTAACCGAACTTACAACTAATATTACACTTGACTGAGGGGAGACTAAATTTTTCGACAAGGGACCTGTTAGATATGAAGTTGAGCTGATGGGGGAGGTTTGAAGCGGAAGAGGGGAGGGAATCGATCAAGGGCGAGCTCTTTTGTTGCTGCATGAGGGGCACTTGTATTGCTTAATGTGCTCGGCCCTCGCTGGTGTGATCTTCACACACTTGCCATGGAACCACTTCTCGCAGATGTCACAACAGATCCAGAATTCGTCAGATGCGTAGTTCTCTCCGCAGGCACCGCACAGCGTGTCTCCATGCTCCTCCTCGTCTTCTTCGTCGTCATCCAAGCCTTCATCGTCATCCTTGGGCTGTGCCATTCTTGAGTACTTCACTTGGGAGTCCCGCTGCTTGACAAAAGCAGGTGTAGTAAACATAGAAGAAAATGTGTAAGAGAATGCTTTATATGAATAATTAGCATAGGTTAAATATCTCATTGTGAACCAGCTCAGATCTACGACAAGACCTAAGACTGGATTCCTATTTCATTACTTCCGATTCATTAAGAATATGTGTAGCCATGATGATCAAACAAGAAAGATGAGAAAGACACAGGACCATAAGAAACGTGTCAATTCATATACTCTGCTTTTTCTAGCCAAATTAAAGACTGCAGAGAAAACTTCTTTTACCCCTTTGGAGTTCGACTTCGATTTGTTGCTGCTGTGGTTTGAGACAGATGACTTCTCCTTGGATTGTTTCTTGACTGCACCAGATACGATCTCGAATATTGTTGGAAATTCATTTATCATATTGAAGAGCCTCTTCCTGCAGTATTTCACAAGAATCAATCCTAATGTCACATTGCCAAACTACTGTCAGGAACTTTTTTAATAATTCCTTCAGTATGCTATACACAATGGTACCCATCCAAAATTTAAGTGTCAAGTACTCAGATGCCAATGCATTTGAAACACAAAAACAAACAATTAGCATATGAGCCGTTATGTAACACTCGTATTGGTGGAGGGTTTAGAGCACGATTCATCAAAGAGCATACCACCAATAGGACTCAATATATCAAACTCAGAGATTAGCTATAGCCTATAGAGCATACCTGTCAGCTTTATCAAATCCAAATCTGGCTCCAAAATAGAATGCAACAGAAAGCAACCATGCATCGCTGTGCACAGCAACTAAAGATAGCCAGTCTTTTTCTTGCATGCCATCCCTTGCAAAGTTAATACCCAAGGCAGGTTCTGGAAGCTCAGGCGGCACTTCTTCAGCTGGCAAATTAACTTCCCATTGTTCACTTGGAAACCCATACAAGCACAGGTTTTCCTTCTCTGAAAAGACAGGAAATTTTTTAAGGCAGCAAGTTATAGCTACAACTACAAGAAAAGTAGAAGAACAAGATGCTAATTATAAATTAGTATAGACACGTAAGGTTAAGAGGTGGATAATACTGATGATAATTAAAAGATGTGGATTCTGAGAGCAGCAAACAAACTCCACCAATGATCAATTGTTTTTTTCCCCAGATGGATTTAGTAGCAGCGATGTATTAGTCAGTGCAGCAAACGTAGATGACAAAAAGAAAGAGAAGCCACACGAGATTCAATATAGGGTTTTCATAAGTCCTATAACGTGTTTTCAACCACAGTGTTTTCTTGTTGTTCTTAACTGCCTATTACGTCAGTTAGACATAAACTCCACAACCGTTAGGCATGAAATCTATACAAAATCCAGAAACAATAGCCTCTACAGATATAGCGAACCACGTGCCATGCTTCTAAAGAGTAAAATATAGAATGTCAGCCTCTCCAGATCTCACATTTACTTCTTTCCACTTCTCCTCTAAACTAAAGCCATTTGGACAGCATGATTCTCGGTAATACGTTACATGACACGAGGCAGCATATAGCAGGGCAGGGGCATCGCATAACACAGCTAATAACCAGATTAGCAAGAACATTCTTTCAACAGGATTCAAACAAAACTCTGAGCACAAATGATGTAAAAAAAAACCATCATAACAAGAAACGGAAATACTAACAAGTGACAGTCCGCATTATGAACTCTATGAACCAAGAACAGTGGCACAGGATGACCAACAAAGATATAATTTTTAGGTTGCTCCATCTTTCTAAGACCAATGAACTTATCAATAATGCTAAGATGATATCTGCTGAAAATAGAACAATGCAACTTATCTACCAAATTGGAAACTCCTCTCTTACCAGGATCGCACTGATGATAGAAGTCTTCAACATCTGCAGCACATCACAAGGAAAATACAGATAGAGTCACTAACACATGCAGGCAAAACACATCCAGTAAGTTCAAGTGAAAAAGCCAAACTACAGCAAACAATGCCCTTCCAGTCATTTCTTTAGACAGAATTCTCTCGCCATGGAAGGAATTGATCAAACATTGAGAAAAAAAATCCGCAAGTTTCATGAAAAACCTCACGACTCAAACAGAAGCAGAGAATTCACATCGGAGCTCAAAGGGGGAAGCGGAAATGCCGGAACAACTTCACACCCCGCCTAGAAAGAGAGCAAAGCCGGAGTAAAAAAGAAAACTGCATCGCGATAACCGAAAATAAAGAAAGGGACAAAAAACAGAACAAAAGCAGCCGTCGCCGCAACCACCGCCGACGGCGGCGGGAGTAAGTCTCGAGCCGGAGAAGAAATACACGCACACAGGAAACATAATTCTTCTTCCTCTTCCTTTAATTAGTGCGTTTTCTTTCTTTTTGTGTGTGTGAAGCTTACCATTAGTGAGCGCTTTAATCAAACCAGCTCGCCGGCCTTTGAAATCCCTGAAGACTTCCTCCACCGTCCGGGGATTGTAGTTTGCTCCGGCGCCGGCTCCGACCCCGACTCCTCCTCCCGTATCCATGCCCGCTGCTGCTCTGCCTCTCTCTTCTGTATTCTCTTTGTAGACTGTGAGTGTGAGGAGTTTTTTTCTTGAAAGGGAGAAAAGGGAAGGACTATTTGTTTGTTTATGGAAGTCAAGAACAAAACAATACTGAAAAGGGGGTAAAAAACTAAAAATAAATAAAAAGGTAGAAAGAGAAAAAGGAAACGGTTAGGGGCAAAAGTGGGAATTCAAGGAAAGTAAGGGTTTCTTTCGGAAATGCATTGGGGAATGATTTCTGACCGAACGGAATTGAATCTAGGTTTCCCGGTGCGGGTTAATTGGATTTGAAGGTCTCGGTTGGAGTCCGAATTATGAGACAAAAAATCCCGCGGTAAATCATAAAAGAAACGGCGCCGTATCCGGGGAGTGGAGTCGGATGAAGTTGGATTGGGGACGAGTAGGGGTGTCGGTTCGGGTCGGATTCGGTTACCCAAACCGAAACCCGAAAAAACCCGAAAACCCGAAACCGAAAATCACTAAAACCGAACTCGAACCTCGATAAGGACTTGCGGGTTTCGGGAATTCCTTATCGGGTTCGGGTTCGGTTAAAGCAAAACCGAAATCCGAAAACCCGAAAGTTTAAAAATACGAGCTGAGTTCTATTCATTGGAGGTTTTTAGCCGGAACCCAAAAAACCGATAAGCAAAACCGAACCCGAAACCGAAAAACCCGAAACGAACCCGGACCCGAAAAACCGAAAATGTACATAATCGGGTCGGTTTCGGGTAAACCCAAAAAACCGAACCCGAATGGACACCCCTAGGGACGAGTTATAAGGCCCACGGGCCATTTTTTTTTTTTTTTTGCCATAAGTATCCCACAAGGTGGGAGAGAGCAAGATACGAAATATAAATACAAAACATTTGCAGGTCAAATCACAAACAATAAATAAGGAAGAAACGTCGGTAATCCAACGATAAGAGAGCTTTTTTGCCACGATATGGGCAGCCCTAATATACCTACGCATTAACCAGAATCCACGTATTTGCTTCAACCCTTTTCGGGGCGGAAGTGATGGACCAAACTCCCGTGGTTGTCAAGTGACCAGAAAGCAACAATTCTTTGCAATTGCAAGTATAACAACAAAATATCCACCCACGGGCCAACCTTACCAACAGGCTTAACATATTTTGAGAAAATGAGATTTGTGGCACAACTACCATTTCACCCTTTAAATTTTAGGTGTGATTTAGGAGCTAAATGCTTAAATCATATATTCGAAGACATTCGATAAATTCTAATTTTCTTTTCTTTGGATGTTCAATATGTAGAACAGTACTAATCGGGCGGTATTCAGCCTGAGATTTTGGTACTAGCTAACAGACTCAAAAAGGTGCTGCATGTGGCGGTGGTGGAAAATCAGAGCGCTTTTGTGCCAGGAAGATACATTACAGACAATGTTATCGTTGCTTTCGAGTGTTTCCACGCTATGAAAGCACGAACAAAGGGCAAGAAGGGTTTCTTAGCAGCTAAATTGGATATAGCAAAGGCATATGATCGGGTTAGCTGGGAATTTTTGGAGGCTATCATGAGGAAAATTGGTTTTGCTGATAGATGGGTCAGAATGGTGATGAAATGCGTAACATCGGTCTCGTATGCAATTTTAGTCAATGGACATCCCTCGGAGGTGATCTATCCTACAAGAGGTCTTAGGCAAGGGGACCCAATTTCCCCTTACCTGTTCCTGTTAGTCGCTGAGGGTCTTTCGGCGTGGACAGCAAGGGCAGAGGCAGAGGGGCTGATCCAAGGATTGAAGGTGAAACAAAATGCCCCAGCTGTCTCGCATCTGTTGTTTGCGGATGACAGTATTTTCTTTATTAAAGCCACGAGACCCCAATGCCTAAAGCTCAAGGAAATCTTAAACAAATACGAGGCTGAATCGGGACAGAGTGTTAGTTTAACAAAGTCAGAGATATATTTTTCACCAAATATCCCGACGGAATCAAGGGCTGAGATGGGGGAAATTCTTGGTATGAAGGTTGTGGACCAACATGAGAAATACCTTGGCCTGCCCACGGTTGTAGGCCGAAAGAAGAAGTCAGTGTTTAGTTATTTGGTCGATCGAGTGAGGAAGAAAGTCAAGATCTGGAAGAGTCGCCTCCTGTCCAATGCTGGAAAGGAGGTCCTAATCAAATCTGTGGCCCAGGCACAGGCCACCTATGTTATGTCTAGGGGTGGGCAACGGGAAACGGGTATTTGGGTATGCCCGTACCCGTCCCGTTTTTAAGGGTTACGGGTATCCGTATTACCCGTAATATTATAAACGGATGGGACTTGGGATTGTACATTCCTAATATGGGTACCCGCGGGTTACCCGCGAATACCCGTTTGGGTAATATGGGTACCCGTTATACCCATTCAATACAAATGCAGAAATTTAATTCAGTCCAACCCAATTCAAAACTCATTGGCCATTTCGGCCCTTACCCTTTCAATTTCAATTCCATTTGGGCCCTTACCCTTTCGCTCTTTCACTGACATGTTTGGTGAATTAGTAGAGAGGGTTGGGATGTGTTGAATGAAACTTTTTTTTGATAATTTGGTACTTGGAATGATTTATTTCTATGTGTTGTGATTGTTCATGAATGTGTAATTTGCAAACCAAGTATTTGTGATTGGGATGTATTTTGTGTCTTGTGATTGTTAAGCAAATACAAGTTAAGTTTAAACTTTTGTTAAAAGTTTAGTGGTTTAAACTTTGGGTATTTATGGGTAGTATGGGTACCCGTTATCCGTCCCGTACGGGTAATGGGTACCCGTTTCCCATATGAGTTTGGGATATGGGATGGATTTTGGTCTCCAAATGGGACTGGGTACCCGTTTAAAACGGGACGGGTATCCCGTCCCGTCCCGTTGCCCACCCCTAGTTATGTCACTTTTTCTTCTACCAGAAGGAATCATTGATGAAATCCAGAGAATCATTGTCAATTTTTGGTGGGGACAGACCCAACAGGAAAGAAGAACTCATTGGAGAAGCTGGCAGGATTTGTGCAGACCTAAGAAGGAGGGAGGTATGGGTTTCCGTAACTTAAAAGGCTTTAACATAGCACTTTTGGGTAAGCAAGCTTGGAATCTCATCCTGATGCCTAACTCCCTAGCAAGCAGAATTCTAAAAGCTAAGTACTTTCCGAGCGCGAGCATTATGGAAGCTGAAATGGGGTACAACCCCAGTTATATTTGGCGCGGGATAGTGGCAACTAGGAACCTGGTAGCAAAGGGCCTGAGATGGAGGGTGGGAAACGGGTCTCAGATAAGAATCTGGGAGGACAGGTGGATTCCAGATAGTGAGGGGTATGAAATTGCCTTTAGTAACCAGAATGTGGAGAGTCCAGTGATGGTTGGTGAGCTGATCGACTTCAAGACAAGACAGTGGCGGACCGACCAACTTAATACCCATTTCCATACTGAAGACATACAAAAAATTCAAAACATCCCTATACCGAGACAACCTTGCTCGGACAAGCGCGTTTGGGGACTGGAGAAGAGGGGCCTATACTCAGTCAAATCGGTTTATGTGCTCTGGATGGAAGACCAGGAGGATGCCATGGGAGAGATCTATGTGCCGGTAAATTGGAAACAAATTTGGCAGCTAAATGTACCACCTATGAGGGTTTTCGCTTGGAAATGGATTCTGAACATCCTCCCCACAGGGGGAAATCTCGTGACCAGAACCAGGAGGGGATGCGAGGAGTGCCCTTTTGTGGGCTGGAGGAAACACAGTACCACATTTTCCTCGACTGTGGGTGAACTCGAAGAATTTGGCAAACCTCAGAGCTGAGAACTCTGTTCGCTAAAGGAGAAGGGGGTACCTGTGAGGAGTGATGCTGTGAGCTCCAGGCCAGCGAGTCAGAGGAGTCAATCGAATCGGTGGTGGTGGTGCTCTGGTACATCTGGAACGAACGAAACAACCATCTGTGGAACAACAGAAAAAGGGAAGAGAGCGAGATTGTGATGCATGCGGTGGATTGGATGCGGGAGTATCAATCTAAACACCAAATAGAAACTCACCTTGCTCAACGGCAAATCAAATGGTCTCCACCAGCAATTGGCCGATTGAAAGTTAATGTGGATGCAGCGGTTTTCCGATCAGAGGGAACGGGCTGGGGAGCCATTTTTAGCAACGCCGAAGGGGATTTTGTGCTGGCCGCAGTGAAGAGGACGAGGCGCCGGTGGCCGCCGGAGATTGCTGAGGCGATGGGGATTCTGTTCGCGCTGGATCTGGCTGGTCGATTTGGACATACAGCTCTGGATGTGGAATCGGACTGCCTGTTGCTGGTGAAAAAGCTCGACCGAGAAATGAGGTCTTGGATGGAGGTGGACGAGATCTGTGAGGAGATAAGAGAGAAAGCAGGCCGGTTTGGTGATGTGCGGTTTATGTTTTTGGGCCGGGATGGTAACAAACCGACCCACTTGTTAGCCCATTCTCTTTGTGGGTGGGATGGTGAGGAGTTGTGGACTTCAAGCCCGCCCCCCTTCCTAGCCCAAACCCTGGCCAATGATTGTACCAACGCCCACTCTCTTTGATTTAATATAAGCAGGTTAATTATAAAAAAAAAATATATGTAAAACAGTAGAAGTAGTAATCGGCGAAGTTTTATTGTGGAAGCCGAAAGGTGTGCAATGATTCAACCCAATCTAAACTTGTATTGAATCAAGATGGAACTCTTACCAAAAAGAAAGAAAAGTTTACCATCATAATTGGAAGGAAAGTGCATTTAGTATAGTCCTATAGTCCTAGGCTAACCAATCTAATAAGCTTTTTTACTTAACCGTTGAGGTTCATGAAATCAAAACAGAATCACTTTATATTTGGTTTGATTCGATTCAATCCAAACATTGATTGAATCCTATTTACGGGTCGTTTGCTTCATGGATTTGAAAAATGAGGGTTTTGGTAAAACTTGGGTTTTGGAAAACCATGGATATATGATGCATTTGGTGGCATTATGGATTTGACCAAGTCTATTGTTTGCTTGTTGGATTTGATTATAGATTTTGTTTGAATAGATTTGTGGATATGAAATTCAAATTACCTTGTTACCCTTATCTTATCTAATTATATTTCTATATTATAATCCATAAATTTTATTAAAAAAATCCAACGTATACAATGAAATTTTAAACTCTTTACCACTATGTGGACTAATAATTCAACTACAAATATAGAAATGTATTATAGTTTGGCACTAATTAACAACTCATCTAATAATGTACGCAATATTATGTATCAATTGCAACCAATTGCTCGCTTTATTGCTACAACGCATCAACTTCTTGCTAACTCCCCGATTTTGGAATCCGACAATCAATCAAATAATAATGCACAAGACGAGCATAAGATGTTTATAGTTGAATCTAACAAATCACATATACATTCATATTTAAATAAACTATGATATTACAAAATGAAATGAAAAATTCTCATATATATAAAATACGACATTATGAAAGTTTATAATTGCATGACCATTGAATTAAAGTAGGACAACTTTGTAATTAAATTAATAAGTAAAGGTAGAAAGGTAATTTACCATCATGGATTTTAATCCATCACCCAAATCCCACCTCAAGAGGTGGAACTTCCAAGTCCGTGGGGTCCATGGATTTGGAACCTCAAAAGTGGCGGGACCCACAAATTCCATCTTCCTAATTCTCTAAGGCAAACAATGGATTTTCGTTAAAGTCCATGATGAATAGATTTATATGAACCAAACCGTTGCCCACGGCTTTCCACTAGCTGTTCCCCCTAATTTATACATTTAATTTAAGAGTGAAAAAGCAACGATATGAAAGAAAGTTCTGAAATGAATATTTGAGTTGCCTTACCACCATCATTCCCACCTTCATAATTTACAATTTTACACCATTAGCTTAAACCCAATCTAGCAAAAGTGGAAAACACTCCTCCAATTAGATCATTTATGGTAACAATTGTAAAAAAAGAGTAGTCACACAAAATGAATCACACTATTATTTCATCCCAACAAAAAGAATGAGAAAACAGAATCAATCACCATTTTCTCATTATATCTTCAAAATCAATCCAACCTCCCTGACTTCCCATTGTTCCTATTACCATCATCCACAACTCCACCACCGTCCATCAATGGCGTCGTGGAATCCTCCATGGCCGAAGATTCCTTACCGTTTCTGGGTTTTTGAGCGCCATTTGCCTTCTTCGTTTTGCCAAACCCCAACTTCCTCAGAAACATGTTCCAGCTCCCTTTGTTCTTCATCAGCTTCTCGATCTCTTGCTTCATGCTCATGCATTCCTTTTCCAGCTCCACGATTCTCTCCCTCACATCAACCTCTTCCCCGTGTTCTTGTATCCCATCGTCGTTCCTCGTCAATGCCAGGTTCTGCGAGTTCTCGAGGTTGTCAGAAACGTAGAACCACCCAGCCACTGAGGTCCGTAGCCTGAGCTGTTCGAAGAATAATACTTGGACAATGACGCGAAGTGGGAGCCTCTCGTTCTGTGCTGCGTGAGTGCTTGCTTCGAGGGAGAGCTTCTGGCAGTTCATTAGCCTGCAGAGAAGCTCCCTCTCGGAATCAGTCAGCCATGGATGAGCCTGAGAGGCAAACATAGAGAGGAAAATCAGTTTTGGTTGATCTTAACTTACTAGCACACAAAGAAACAACTTGAACATGAATGCACTTGTTTACCTTAAGGTAGATATCAATCGCACGATAGATTCCATCGTCAATTCGCCTGGCATAATCAGGAATCAATGCAGCCAGTGACTGGAACTTGGCTAGCCTGAAGTTGACATCAGGAGCAACCTCCGCAAGAAAATTATCAATAAGGTTTGCAACCAATGTTACTGGAGCAAATGACTGCGATCCACCACCATCACCACCAAGAAGCTGACCCTCATCCAACATGAAATTTGTTGTCGGAGGATCATAGCGGTCCACCATCATGAAATGATCAAGCATCCTCTGGACGCAATCAATATCATACAGAGTCTCACTCGAGTAACCCACATTCGGTATCAGAAGATCTTCCAAAACCGCTTGGTCCAACTGGGCTCCAATCCTCTTCTCCAAATTCTCTCTGCATGATGGCCCAGCATGGAGCAGAATCGCGGTCCTTAAAAGCCTGAGTAGAAACTTAGTTGGAGCAATGCCCTTCTGATCAGGCAAAAGCTCCACAATCTCTTCAAGCAGATTCCTTTGATCCGCCTGTGGAGTCGTCTTAATTGTCGAACCAAGTGCATCCTGCTTCACATTCTGGAAGCTCGACTGTCGTCCAAGCAAAGGCAAGTACCTCCTAGCATAACACATTAGGGCGCCAGCCACCTTCTCGGGTTTCATACCATTCGAGACCACTGCCTGAATCAATCTCTTGTATAGTGGTAGTGTAAGGAACGAAACATCCTCGTACCACCAATCATCACCTGCTGAATTCGACTTCCCTGAAGTCCAAATCCCATTCCAGAACACATTTCCTTCCTCAGGGCTCTGAGGAGCATCTCTGCTGCGTGCTGACATTGGCCAGCTGAACAAACTTGGGTCAGCACAAGCTTTCATTGCTAACGAGTTGATGCATCTCGAGACAATGTGGATCTCTTCTGCTAGTGGAAGAACTTCTTCACAAGTTTCTAGAGCCTGAAGAGAGTCTGTCCAGTGGCTGAATACCTCTTTCAGGAAATTTTCTGTCTGTGATATGAGGTTTCCTTCGCCATATTCTTCGGTCATGCCAAGGTACTCTGCTGCACATCGGAGACGGACTATGTTGAGTGCATCAAGCTCAATTCGGACACCATAGCAGAACTTGGCCACCAGCACGAAGCTGTTTGTTCCACCAGGGAGATCGTCGAGCTGAAGGATGCAAGTAGTTCCGTTGTCGGTAGATTGTTCTGCTATGAGATCTTCCAACAGCTTGCTTCTGGTGAGCAATGGGAACTGCCAAAAGAAAGGAGGAAGTTGAAAAACTATAAAAACAGACTTAAAGTACAACTCTGCATAAGCATCCATGAACTTTCCAGAATGCTGCCAAATTTTGTATGACAATTCTAAGGAGAGGAATAAAAAGCTTAAGAACCTCAATTACACATGCGCAGATGATGAACAGGTACTAAATTCTCAGGAAAGAAAACTACTCTGCATCTAAGGAAGAAATCATTATTGCAGCTCAGGACACAAAAGCAAGGTTAAGATAAGAGATATGCAGTGAGAAGAACAGACCTTGTGGAGATGGAACGACGATTCTCCGACTTCAACTATGCAATCACTTTGCAGCCCAGATGAGCAAAACCTGCAGAAGGAAAACAGCAGAATTGCAGGGTTTTATTTGAAACCAATTTTTGAAAGGGGGGCATCTGAAACTAACACAAAACCCAAGTGAGAAAAGTTCAAGGTGGAAATGAAAATTTTTAACAGTCAGTAAGGAAACCATTAGTGGCGTTTGGAATTGTCAAATCTGGATTCATAGGAAAAAATTCGCCATAACCAGAACAACCCCAATCTCTAATTCTGCTAAACAATGGAAAGCACTTCCTACAAAAATTTTGGGTGACGATCAATATTCCAATTGCGGCCACTAATAAAAGAAGAGAAATTAGAGAGACGTACCAGTTATGGCCATCCCGGTGGAAGGCCTCAGATTTCGATCCCAGCTTCATGCACGCCATTGTAACGAGAGAAGGAACCGCTCATCGGAGAAATACAGCAAGCCGGAGGGCCACGGTGGTGAAAGAGACCATCAAAATCGGGAACGAGGCAGGCAGGCAATGCGGACTGATCCTGTGGAAATTCGGAAAGGAAGGACTCCCGAAATGCAGACACACCGATCCTGTACAAAATGCTCGGCGACGATCGTCGGAGACGGTGAGATTCGACGGCCGGTTAGACGATTAAGGGACGAAGAAATTGAGGGATTTGGGTAAAATAACAGTAGTGAAAAACCAAACTGATAAAACTAGGGGTCGTTTGCTTCATGGATTTAAAAATGAGGGTTTTGTAATTTAAAAACCCAAGGATTTATCAAGGATTTGAGGCATCATGGATTTGTAACAATCCTTTGTTTGTTGGGATGTTTTTATCATGGATTTAAAGGTGTGGGATTTACTACTTGAAGTCAAAAATTACATTACTGCCCTTTTCTATACGTTTGACATGTTTATGATATGTACACAAAACAAGGACAAAACTTCAAAATTACCTTACTATCATTTTCAATATGTTTGACATGTTTATGATATGTACACAAAACAAGGACAATACATACTAATAAGCATAATGTTGCCACATGGACAATAATAATAAACGAGAAAATTCCATTTTAACTTTTAACGTAACATAATCAATTACCAATTCTTTGTCCTCCTTTTCAAAAGTGACATATAACAACATATATTAGAATCGGGAGAACAAAGAATTACACGTTCCATGAAAAGGTCAAAGAAAACTAGAACACAAGAAATGATATAAAAAATCTAACTCATGTTTGCACATTAATTGAACGTTTATATTATTCATTTATTGTTAATTATAATGTATAATAGTTAAATTTGAGGGCAACCTTGGAATATTAAAAGTGCATGAGGGTATATGGGTAAAATCTCATCAAGGATTTATGTCATATTCCAAATTCCACATCAACATGTGGGATTTATAAGTCCGTGGGGTCCACGGATTTGGACCCTTAAAATCCGTGGGCCCCACAGATTTGGTCTCCCAAAAAGGTGCAAGCAAACAACGGATTGTACCTAAATCCTTGATAGTTGGTTTTTTGGTACCAAATCCATGTACCAAATCCTTGAAGCAAACGACCCCCTAATTTTACGGAGTGTTCGTAACTGAATGGGCCAAAACTTTGTTATTTTTAGATATTAATTCTCCCATAAAGCTGATTATAATGATTTTTTACACTGTAAATAGTAGTTAAATAATTAATCGAAGTAAATTTTGTGCATCGAAAATACTGCTGCCAATTGAAACGTTTATAGATGGTAGGAACTTAATTCTGGAAATCATATTCAAGTAACGTTCTTAATTGAATTCGATAATTTTCTTTTTGAAATTTGTATCCAAATTTAACAATATTTCTATAAAAAAACAACATAAATAATCCAGCAAAAGAGATTGAGAAATGAGAAGTGGAAAGAACCAGCCCGGCAGGATGACCGGCGGCCACATATTCCGGCAAGCACGGCTTCCGGGAGGGAAAGCGATATCACAAGCAGAACCTCCAGAACAGAGTTACCATTCACAATCAATTACTCGAGCCTCCATAGTCCAGACAAGAGTTTTTTTTGGCACAAATGCAAAATACAAAGCACGACTGATTAATAAGTTCTGAGAAAGAAGGCAATCAAGCATCAATAACTTCTTGACAAGCAAGCAAAACGAACTCGAATTACACAGAAACGAACTGAGCCAAGGATGACTTCCCAGAGGGCAATGAGCCCCGTGAGGGAGAGAGGTGATGAGATGAGCTGCATAGAGGCCCTCTCTTCTTTCCCCCTCTCTCTTAGTGGACGCAGCGCCCTTGAATGGTCCCACCGACGTGAGACGATGATGCCAGGTATCCGGAGAACCTGAACTCTTGCTGGTGGAATGCCCCATCGTCGTCATTGTTGGAGGTGATGTCGGAGCAAGAGGTGGTCGAAGCACAACCATCTCGACGATTCTCCCCCCGATGAACTTCAGAGGACTCCGGGTAGTTACCGGATGATCTAGGCTGGCCGTATCCTGTGAGCTCGTGCCTCGAAGAATCTTCATCTGGTGTTTTTGTGTTGAGGAAACGTCCACCGGTACCCCTAGCCCTCCTCATTGCATGAAGATGCCTTGACTCATGAAGATACGGCTGCAGAGGAATAAAAAAAAGTACTTCCAGATAATGATAACAACGAAATGAAAGATCCTATCTTTTTCTTTGACTTTGTTTCTAGATCTTTAGAGGTGGTATGCTTTATATCTTTAGCTTCCATTTCAATCACTGAATTGGAGCAGCACAATCACAGCGTTTGCATTTACCTTACGATTTTTGGCCAGCCGGTTCTGAGCTTCGAGCTTCGCGCGGTAGCGCCTCCTCCTGAGGATCGCGTTGTACTGTTTGGCATTGACAAAGATGGGTTCATCTTCAGTCAGATCAAGAGGAAGGGGCACTCGAGTTGCAGCCGTTCCAAATACTTGTGAGGGATGGACCTGCGGCCAAATCATTGATGAACAATGAAGTTGAAGAGGATAGCAAAAGTTCAAAGAAATACACAGCTTTGCATGGTGACAATAAGTATGGTTGCAGTGTGGTTTAATACAAGATGCCCAGCTACAGCTTAGAGAGGGGGACCAGAATCCAAATACAGGAATAACCTTGCTTTTTACCACTTATATATCATTTTGCATAAATTCCTTGGAAAAGAAGTAGTTTATTGCCCAAGTACATAAATGGATTTATGCAAATTTTGCTCCTTGGGTTTTGTAATTTCTCAAACGAGCACCTGAACTCTGCTTTTCCCTGAAATGAACCCTTGAACTTCATGATCTGGCTTCAGACAGGCAGCCCAACTTAGCACTGGCAACATCGGCCGCAAACAATTGTCCAAATGAATCCCGACGGAGGCATTAAACCAATGATACTTCTGACAGTAAATGTGGACCTACATCTAAACACAAATTCTATCGACTCTGACAGAAATGGTCGATTTGGGGAAGTATTCAGGGCAGAAGAAGCACAGTTCAGGTGCTCCTTTGAAAAAAGCAGGAAAGCCCTGGACTAATTAGTACTCGTTCCCAGTAATTTTAAGAAAGAAGCCCCCCACTTCCCAGCTAAAGAATAAGGTAAAGGGGCACAATGGAGTAAAAAAGATTCCTAAGCAAGACAGGATATATTTAAAAATAGCTTTCATTTAATGGATTCACACCAGATCAACCTTTTTTCCAGTGAAGAGCTTGAAGGGTCAGCATCAAATGTAATGAATATTATCAGCACACCAAAAAGCACGGTTTACACACTGAAGAATCGCATTTGAGGGGCGTGATTCTTGTCTAACTAAGGATGGGTTGGGATAAACTATTTTGCAGCTATAGAGTTTCCAGGGAAACTAAAATAGTCTGCACATATTTTCAGGTCTGACGTTATCAGTAATCTGACTCAACAGCCACAACAAGGTTTTAGATTGGTGATGAATTTCTGCAAACCACTCTCATCTTTCGGGTTAACAGATGAAGCCGATTCTATCTCTTTGCCCTTTTTAAATTTGATTTTGCAGTCAATCTATCAAACAAAAAACACAGTACATAAATGAACAAACAGAATCCATACAGATAGTCACTTACCGTTGGTGAATAAGCAGCTAGGATACCCCCATAATATGGTTCAGCATAGGCGAGTGGAATACGTGCCTGAGATAGTGATCACGACTATGTAAGATTGTCTGATCCATTTTCTTATACTACAAAGCACAAGCAAAAGTATGAACTTACAACAGATTGGCCATAGTCAACTTGATAAGCAGGGAAGATGAACTCCTGAGGTCCTACTTGTGAGTATAGTTTACCAGTCTGACCACCACCCACTGGCTTTCCACAAGCTTCATCAGTTGCTAACCATCACAAAGACACACGTAAACAAAGAAGCTTAACCCTAGTTCGATTCTCGTGGTAATAGTTTTGTATCAATTTTCAGTAAAATCATATCACAGTGTTGCTGTGTCTTACCTTCTCCCATGTTTCCGACTTCAGGGTATGATTGACCAGTCGATTGACTCGAGCACGAATCCTGGTCTTGAAATTGAAATTTCAGTGGCTTGGTGCCATAGAAATGATGTTGCTGAACTCCCATGTTCGAAAACTCCAACTCAGCTGACAAAGATGAACACTCAACATCAACAATTGACAATCAACAATGGGGAAAGTCATTGACTCATAAATCTAAGTCTCCTAAAATGCAATTACAGAAGGCTCACCGGAACTATGGAGGTTATCTAGGAGGTCAGAATCCTTTTTGCTTGAATCACTGTATCCAGGAAGCCGAAATTCAAATTAGAACACTAACAGACCACTACTAAGCAATCAGAGATTCGGAAGTAGAAATCAAGAAGATTGAATTAGCAATAAAACGAGAAACTCAATTAGAAAGAAGACGATTAGTAAAAGCTAACTCTTGGTTTCATCGCCATCCCACTAAAACCTTCCACTGACCCATTTCATCAAATACCTTGCATGCAAAACCCAGATATCAAAAGCTTGCCGGGAATAATGAGAAATTGGTTGGCGATGGCTCACAAACAGCAACAACTATTAATAAAAAAGAAAGAATCCACCATTGAAAACTCCACCCAAAAGACGCTAGAGATATCAAACACTGGAATATAAACTTTAAAAAAAAATCCTGCAAGGGCTACTGACTTGTCTGCAGGCCAATAAAGAATCACACAAGCCAACAAAACAATCGCCATGAAAAAGAAACTAACCCAAGAAGAACGAAGGAGGTTGCAATTGGTGAACCTTTCTTTACTGAGCTCTGCTTCTTCTTCTCAACTTAATCTCCATCTTTACCACAGAACGGAGAAATATCTTTTCTTTGCTTTCCTTTCCTTTCTCTTTTCAGTTCTTTTGCTCTGTAAAATTACAGCAAAGAAGCTCACTTTCTCAGTCTCTGTTTCTCAATCTCTAATGGGTACAGGGAAATGAAACGACCAGCTCCTTGCTTTCTCTCTCCTTCTCTCAATGCATGTTTGTTTCTCTCTCTAGTTAGTAGTTTCTCACCCCCATTCCCATTTTCCCACCACTACCAACAGCATTTTCTTCATTGCTCTGGGTTTTGTTTATTATATTTTTTCCGTCTACTTTCTTTTGGAGTAATCTCAAAAACTTCAAATGCCTTAACAACCTCTACTAATATTTCGAAGAAAAAAAAAATCCTCACATTATTCAAAGATAATAATAGAGAAATCATAGACTAATTTTTGAATGAGTAAAATGAGTAGCCCCTTTTACTACAATTTCACTCATAATTTACCCTATCCTTTTCGTTAACAAGTTCCTCAACTCTTTTTTCACACGATCGTCAACTCGAGAATACAAAAATGTTTTTTTAGTGGTGATATCGAAGATGAGGACGGGAGTCTAAACGACTCGTAGTTGATATTTTTGCGATGGAGATGGTGAAAATTGGAGCTTTACTGTTGATCAGCTCGACAATGACCATGATAAGTGATAACTAATGGATTTTGGGTGATATTTTTCTTTATTGGATTGAAGATGATCAGTCATGTAACGATATTCAAGTTTCTTCAATATTTAAAGAGCACTCAAGCATATCATGTTCATGGTTAATGGGCTAACTGTTCATAGATGAAAGGTGGTGGACATTAAACGTACGTAATTAGAGAACAAAATATTACCAGACATATCCTGTTATTCCCCCTAATCCTATAACCAACTCCATCATGCAATTCTACAACTTACGTCAAAAGTAACTGATAACGAATAAACGCAAATTCAATCTAGTATCAAATCTATCAACTCGAAAAAGAATATGTCAGTTTTATCTCATTGAGGAGGTGAAAAATTAGTGCCTTGTTATGAAATTTTACTAAATACATAAAAGAACATGAAGCATTGCAAACTTGTTAATGTTCTTAACCTTTCCTCGGACGAGGTCTCAATCACTTTTCGTTCTGTTGAATTCTTCTCATTTCCTTTCGTCATTAACTAGCTTGCTTTGTCTTAATTAAACAATTTACTTAAATATCAATTTGATATACTTGCTCATGGGTGACGCTCCCCTTTAACCGAGTATTAAATCACAAACTTTCTTCCCACAAAAAGGCAAAGGAGTAGGAATATGTCTTAATCCTTCTATCTCTCCATCACCATACAATATCGTGTTAAACGACTATGTCGATTGAATCACGTATCAAGATATCGAGAGCTAATTCAGTACATTTTGTCAAATTTATTAAATTCTTTTATCCAACATAAGTTCATAAGACATGACCGGACAACAATATAACAAAATTAGCAGTAAGCAAAACGGTCATTGGTATGCAACCAAACTCTATCACAAGAGATAGGAAAGAAGCTTTAATACAAAAAAAAATTATATTATATTCTTCATTAGTATTAATCTTAATTAAGATTCTTAGCCACCCTCTCCATTAGAGGAGGATGCCACGATTTACAAAGTAGATACTTTTCATTAGTCTCCCTCTCCCCCTTTTCCTTTTTACCTTTGCGCATTGTCGAGGTGGATCCTCCTGTCCTTTGCCGCCTCTCGCTTTGCAAGGTGGGAAGAAAAGGATGCATTATCCACTTCTGTATTCCCCTTATTTATTGGTTTTTAATTTTTATCATCCCTTCACCTATTCAAATTACCTTTTTTCTAGTATTGTTCAATACTTAAATTACATTTTCATGCTATACACACATCACACATGTGATTTGGAAGTTTGACTGGTCTTTGAAAGGTCTATTAAAGTTTTAATTAAGACTTAAGAGTATCACAATTATGAGATGATCAAGGTGAAAATCATAACAAAAAGAAGTCAATTTTTTTCTGAATTTGATTCAGATTCTTTCATCACATAAAAAGAATTGTTATCAAATTTTAGAATGCAAAACTATCTATCGATAAAGATATAGGTATTTGTGTCATTAAAAATTTTTATAGTATGGTAAGCATATGATATATGATGTTTGCTTATAACAAGGACAAACATCATTGCACATTATCAACTATTTGTCAAGAAAAAAGGAACTTAAGCTAGAAAAACAACTAATGTCCTACTTTGGACCACATCAAAGTTCTTCCATTTCTTTACAAATCCCTCTTTGGTCATATCATATTATCCAAAAAATTTAATAGAGGGGGAGATATATTAAACAAAAAGAATACAATCGTTTATGGAGAGGGAAACATATATTATTGTAATTTGCTTTTTATAATGGTTTGCTAGGTAGATAAGAACCTCAGCCCGGAAACCAACAAAAATGGGATTAGCAAGTGACAAAAGTTGGATGGTATAGATTTAGGGTTGAGACTTTATATTCAACTCAATGATCCAAATGAAATGTATTGGTATCTTAAATTTCAGAAAAGTTTTGCATTTGCAATCTTAATAATTTTCATGGATGTGATAACAAAGCATAAGATACATGTGCAAGGCTAAATGATATGTTTTAGTTTGGTTTTTTAAACCAATTTGAACCTAGCAAAAATAATAAAATTATTTAATTGGATTAAATTGAAAGTATAAACAAAACTATCTCACGACATAAAACTTTCTTTCAGATGTAAAAGCCAAAAACTTTATTTATGTTTCATAAAAATTACGATAAGGCCAAACAACGACTTGACAGTCTTGATATGTACATAATATGAATCATATAAGAGTGGGAATAGGTAATTTGTTAACTTCGGCAAAAAAACAAAACAAGCATTGAGTGTAATCTTTTTTCTATTTCTTTTAGGATGAATAAAAGGATGGAATGACTAATCTTACATAAGACATGAATTTATATAATATCATTAATTAAAAGATAATGTAATGTAAAGAGTTGGTCCTAATCCATGGACAGACATTAGATAAAAATAATCAATGATAAGTACTAGGAAAACAAAAGTGGAAGCCAGCAAATTGGCTTTGGTTTCAATTAAAAATAAAAATTGGCTTTGGTTTCAAGTTTCAGCCTTTTTTTTCATTAATGGTTTTCTTATTACAGTATTTGATGGTCATGAATCAATCTTGCATAATGAGTAGGGTAGGATATGCATAATCGTGCATAATTCTATACATAATATTTATAAAGAATTATTAACTTTTTCCGATATGTTTTAATGAGCTATATTATTTTATTTTAAGTTCAAAATTAAAAAAAAATTACACAGATTAATTGTCCTTTTTTAAATGACAGAAAAATTGATACTTTTATTACCAGTACATACCAAGCTGTACTATTTGATATGTACATAACATTATACCACTTGGAATGGAAGTGTATCATGGTGGTATGAACACATCAGAGTGTAGAATGATTGCACATATATATAATTATACATGATAGTAAAAAAATTCCCTAGATATTTTTTGGATTTGATAAATCACGATGAACTCATTCCTTCTAAACAAAAAAATTAAAAATTTGAGTTAAAAACGAAGGTGGTTCCAAGTGATAGCAGGTGGTACCAGGATGGTAACAAGTGATATGAAAATATTTTTCTCGAAATATAGTGAAATGAATATTATTTTGTAGATTACAATGAACTCGTTTAACCTATGTAAATTTTTTTAAAATTTAAATTAGAGCGAAGAAGATAAAAAAAATAAAAATTGATAGAAATAGTAGAGAAAATAAAAAATAATTATTAATTTTCATTCCTTAGATCTGAGCTCACTTAAAACTAAGTGTCTAGATCTGATTATACATATGCAGAGTGATATGCACCCTAATCAAATCCAACGAAAGAAAATGAGCTTTATGCTTTAATCAACCTAATCAAACCATGATTTGGGAAACATGATTATTGTGTTAGGTACTTAGGTTGTTTCATAAGTTAGGCACAAAAAACCTCGTATGAAGATGATGCCGAATGTTTTATTTATAAGCAATGATTTCGTGAAAAATAATGGAAATTAAAATGGTTGACGAATCAATAAAAATATCAAATGCAAACCCAAAGTGTGAACTGTGAAGAGAAATTTAGAATACCAAATCATCAATCATTGGTATAATAGTTTGCTTGTGATTTTGGGACAACCCAACACAAGTTCTAATTAGCACGCCAACCCATTGACCCTACCAATGATGAGTTCTCTTCCAATTAACAATTTCGTGTAACAAAAATATATGAAGAAATGTGTCTATTATATATAGGCTAATTCCACTAGAAAACCTAAACTATTTTAAATATATAATTTCTGTTCTAAATTATTTAATATGACAAATCTGTACAAACTATTCCACTTATAATAGCTATCATGACGGACCAGATTCTCAACGGCCGTGAAAGCCGTGGCTTCCATGGTCGTCTGTGTCCCTAGGTGACTGGACATCCTCCAAGGGGTACGACCTTCCTTTTCTGTAATATCTTGCTGCCAGAACAAATGTGTAGATGATGAATATTGAATGTTCCTCTCCCTCTCCATTGTAGTAATTAAGGAGGGGATATGTAGTTTACTTGTTGCAAGTGAAATTGGCACCCGATGAACATGTAACATGTTCCTCTCCATTTAGAGGGTGTTGTCCCAAATCCGGCGTCGTTGAAGCTTTAAGATTCAGGCCAAATTCCACTGTCTATTACTCCGACCACAATGTCACTCTCAATATATGCTTGTTCTTCTTTCAGCGTTAGTCTCAGGAAGCCCCACGTAGCTCCATGACCTTGTAGTGTGGAGCTTCTTCTTCCCGCTAGGGAAAACTGAAACCACTCCCTCCGTTCTTGGACATGCAGCAAAGAAAAAGAACTTGAGCCTAGTAGATGTGCACTTTGTCTTTAGGTACGAGGATATTGGACCGACGTGATGCTCCAGGCCCACGTCATGCAGCTCATGCAGCCCATGCAGAGGGAAGGCCCATAGCCGACCCATCTAGCTCACGTTCTCATCATGTAACCCTAGATAATTTTGATGTAAAAGGGTATAAGAATATGGCTTGCACGAACAAGCCGATCATCAATAATACGTAGAAGCAAATTCCCGTGGATGTAAGCCTCACATAACGTGAGGAAGAACCACGTAAATCGTGTCTCGTTCTATCGTTCTTTCATAATTTTACATGGTATCAGAGCATTAAGCTCCAGACCTTATTTCTTCTGCAATCATGAGTGACGACGATGATGGTTCCATCATGTCAAAGTCGCAAGGCAAGAATGATGATGCCTTGCCTGAAGTGCTCCAGCTCCATCGATCAGATGGCCCTGGAAATATGCTGGTCGGGGATATTCTGACCGCCTCCAATTATGGCGAGTGGGCTCTCGATATGAAGGACGCCCTTCTCGCGAAAAACAAATTCGGGTTCGTGGATGGTACCATACCTAAACCTACGAATCCGGCTGAACGTGATGCTTGGATTCGATGCGATGCCATGGTTAAAGGCTGGCTCAAAACATCGATGGACAAGGAAATACGAAGCAGTGTTCGCTTCGCCGAGACAGCTCGTGAAATATGGGCTGATTTACTCGAGCGTTTTGGTCAAGGAAGTTCCGCACGCGCCTATGAGTTGCGGAGGCTGATTTCTCTTCTTCAGCAGGAGAAGGGCTCGGTTTCAACATTTTATACAAGGCTGAAGAGTATTTGGGAGGAGGCATCAGCAATATTCCCTCCGCCGAGCTGTACTTGTGGGCTATGCAAGTGCGGCGTCTCAAGACGAGTTCGCGAACAGCAAGAAAGTGCTCGAGTCTTTGATTTTCTCATGGGGCTTGATGATGCTTTCAGCAGTGTTCGTACCCAGGTTCTAGCTATGAAACCCATTCCTACTCTTGGTGAAGCATTTAACATTATTGTGAATGCAGAAAAACAGAAGCTTATAACTCAAAGTCGACGTTCTTCACCGGAGGCTGCTGCTTTTGTTGCACATGGCGATCGAGAGAAGACCCAAAATTCCAAGGATCGTGAACGCAGTGGAGATGAACGGGAACGTCGTCGCTGCACCCATTGCTAAAAGACAGGGCATCTCCGTGAATCGTGCTGGGAGTTCCATGGCTATCCCCCTCGTGATCGCGACCGAGATCGTGACCGGGATCGTGAGCGTCCATCTCGTGAACCACGTGACAGGCAAGGGGATCGTCCACCTCGTGAGTCTCGTGGGAACTCCTCCAATCGTGAGCGAGCTGGGTGTGCCGCAGGATCGCGCCACTCCACTTCACTGCGATAACCAGGCAGCTCTCCACATTGCCAACAACCCGCTCTTCCATGAGCGCACTAAACACGTTGAGATGGATTGTCACTTTGTTCAGGAACGAGTTCAGACTGGCCACATCATGCCCATCAAAGTCCGCTCTGAACTCCAGCTGGCGGATCTCTTCACCAAGGGTCTTGGTGCCGATCGGTTTCATTTTCTTCTCTCCAAGCTGCACGTTCGTGACCTTCACGCTCCAGCTTGCGGGGGAGTATTGGACCGACGTGATGCTCCAGGCCCACGTCATGCAGCTCATGCAGCCCATGCAGAGGGAAGGCCCATAGCCGACCCATCTAGCTCACGTTCTCATCATGTAACCCTAGATAATTTTGATGTAAAAGGGTATAAGAATATGGCTTGCACGAACAAGCCGATCATCAATAATACGTAGAAGCAAATTCCCGTGGATGTAAGCCTCACATAACGTGAGGAAGAACCACGTAAATCGTGTCTCGTTCTATCGTTCTTTCACAATTTTCCAGAGGAGGATCTCAATCATCTTATCCATAGCTTCAAATTTTCAAGAGATGTGTGGTCAATTGTTGGCAGATTTGTAAAGCTCGATGGCATTTTACGTGACGAACGTCTTGATTGCTTGTTGGTTATCAAGTGCAAAAAGAGTGGATTGTGACATCGCGGATAGCTGGCTCAAGAGCATGAAAAGAAGCTTACTGCATCCATCTACTTCAACCAAACATAACATACCATTGTTCAATGAATGCCGGGTTCACGTGAGTGATTCCGCACCAGGATTGTCGAGGCTTTGTTTCATTGTTCCTTGTTGTTGGGTTCTTCAATTCCTCGCCTTGGTTTGTAGTGTTGCTGGGTTTACCTGTTCACAAACTGGCTCAGTTTGTTTCCCCAGCTTTGTTCTTTCCTTTTTCCATTTTTAATAAATAGAACGAGGTCACCCTTATAAAAAGAACTAGATGGGAAAGACCCGCACCATGTTGCGGCCCATCTGCTAAACACATTTAAAAAACTCATCAACAATGCATTTATTCATGGAAAGGCCCGAACTTCATTTAATTAGCTTCACTTTCAAAATGGTTCGCGGAATGTCGGCCGATTGAATCTGCTTCAATTGGTGCAAGTAATAGAATTAGCGTGAACAACATCGGCATAATTGGTATGATCAATTTACGAAATCTAAATAAAATGACGTTATTGTAATGAATTTAATAAAATTTAAAAATATTTTATGAATTTAAAAGTTAAAAATTAACGTTACTTATTGGATTCAAGTATAAAAGTTTAGATATTACCTTTAAGTGTTATATTTAAGTATGAATATTTGCTATTTTATTTGGAATGTCCTATTTTATTTAACTATGAATATGAATTATAAGTAAATTGTCTTTTATATTATTAAATTCATTTGATATTAATGATTCCTCACATTTCTACATATTATACTAAACCAACATAAACTTGCACAAAACAGGTGTCAATCAATCAAACCATTTCTCTTGCTAAATTGAAATTTTGCTAAACCAACATAAACCGACACAAACCAATTGTCTACCAGTTTAACTTGCTAAACCGACACAACGTTGTAAACCGGGTTTAATCTTGTTTTTAATCTTTCCCATAGACATGCAGCATACACAAAGTACAACCCCTTTCCTCTTACTTTTTTTTTTCCTTCCCACTCTTTAACTTGGTGGCCATTTCAGGTGAGTGATTTTGTAGAGAATGGAGCACATATTCAACTAAAAGAATGGACACGCGCTGAACCCAACCAAAGCCCAAATCCTATAAAAGAGATGGTTTAAAGAGATTAATGTTCTTTTTTGCAACGGTACCGTTCACAAGGAGTTTTACCACCTACACAAATTTTACAATAGGCTCGGTATTATTTGCATTACAATAAGATTTTGTATAGTCAATTATTTTTTACATATATACCAGTTTAATCAAATGTGATATTTTCTAGAACCTGATTTAATTATTAGACCACACAACACGAAAGATTTGTGCAACACTGTTCTACAATAGTTATATTATTATAAATATATTACATAAACCTTATAGAGGGGTAGTTATTTCATATTTGTAAATTAAACAAACTTATTATATATGTAACCCTTCCGTAATATAATTTTGAAATAATTTTTATTATTATTATTTCTAATCTATTGATCATCTCATCAATTTGTATTATACAAAGGATTTGTAAAGTAATTTTGTTTTTACATGTCACTTTAATAAAATGTGACAGTTTATGTAGCTTAATTTTATTATTAGTCCACCCATTACAATAGATTTATGTAACAATGATTTATAACAGAAGCGCAAATTACAGTTACATTACATTAAAGTTATGGAGGGATAGTTATTTTTATATAAAAATTAAAAAGGTGTTATGTGAGTTTTACCTAATGATTAAGAGTTTAAAACACTACGTAAAAGTTAAAACCTATTGAAGGATAATGATTTCCTATGTATCAACAAAATTGATGTTTCGTAATGATTAAATTTAAAACACTATGAAAAGTTTATGAAAAATTGTTATTTTTTTATGTATCACTTAAAAAAACGTGTTGTATGTCTTTCTTAATAATTAAGGCATTACCTAAAGGTTATGGAGGTATCTCAATCATACTATTTTGTAAATTATTTGAAGTTTAATTATAATTAGTTTATTACCACTGCAAAACTCGAGTAAAAAAAATGTAAAATTTAACTAACCAAAATGAATAAGTGACAAGGAATTGACCGGGTTTTCACCCAAACATCCTTAATTCGCATCCCAATCACACATATTGATCAATGTTCCACCATCCATTACAACAACCTCTACAATGTGTGAGCAACAATAGGGCTTCTCACTTGATGAGACCCATCACTCCAAACCAGAGCACCAGACACCACACCACCACTTGATCCAACCCTTGCAGTCACAGTAACATTGAACCTCTTGGTTTCCTCAACAGAGCTAAACCTCAAAACCTCTGGCTCAACTCTAACAACAAGCTCCCCAGGAGCCCTCAAAACCGCCCTGTAACTAGCCACTCCCGCCGTCCCAACATTGGTCACGCTCCTCTGGAAAACCCTAGTCACATTCTTGCCAACCTCACCAGGCAAAATGAATGAAGGGTAGTTGAGGTCCCAAGCAAAGGTCTCTCCCACATTAGAGCAGTCCACATCTTGGCTGGTTATCAGCTTGATCTGAGCAGCAGTGTAGTCTTGGCCACACATGAACTTGATGTAATCTTGCTCTCCTGCATCGTACACCAGCCCCGGATCGTTGCACCTGGTGAGGTTTATGAGCCCTGATCCGTACGCAAACTCTGCATCACGGTTGTTGGCAGGTTTCATGGGGGAAGCTGCAGAGGCAGGGGAACCCCGAACCCGCATAAATCAAATTAACAAGGGGAATTTGATGATGTGGAGATTGAAGGTTAGAGATGGATGCAATGATGACTAATTGGTTTTACCTGTCGTCATTAGAGCAGATCTAATGGCAGCAGGAGACCATGTAGGGTGAAATGATTTGATGTAAGCTGCTGCACCAGTGGCATGTGGGCAAGCCATGGAAGTTCCGGATCTGATGTTGTACTTGACGACTCTTTCATCCCCTTCCTCGCTTGTTGCTGTGGTTGCTGGGGACCAAGCTGCCAAAATGTCCACACCAGGAGCTGCAATGTCTGGCTGCGCGATGACAAAGGTATGGTTTGGTTCGGTGAAAACAATTTTTGATGAGAGACTGTTAAGTGGGAGAGGAAAAAAGGGTTTCGAGAGTGCTGGAATTTATACCTTGAGAATGTTGGAGTTTATAACATTCGGCCCTCTGGATGAGAAGTATGGTATCAATGGTGCAGTTCTGCGCTTCACTTCAATGCTCTTGGAGATGGTCGCAGTTGCATTTCTGTTTTTTTTTTTTTTTGAGTATTCATCACATAATCATTAGTTACATTTCTGTTTTACTTAAGTTAGCTCCTTTCAAATTCGTTACGGTATCAACGATGTATATCTATCATGATGATTTCAGGCTTAACACGAACCGCGATCCACGAGCAAACGATCGATCTCTAGCGTACACGACGCATGCGACTCACCTTGTTTTCGTCGCATATTCCGAGGCGTCGGATCCTTGAAGGTAGGACGTTGGCAGAGGATAGCTGAAGGAGACCTCCGGTTCTGATGATGGATCATCGTTTAGCATTATAGAGCCTATAGCTCCAGCCGATGAAGGACCAATTCCATCGTTGTAAGCGTCACATAGCACAATGCTTCCTTGTACTAGGCTAGGGTTCAAAGAGCCTTGTCTGCATAATCTGCAAGTACACACAGATCCATGACCATCAAACATATGTCTCTGTTCTAAACCTTAGGGGACAATTCAGGTTCTTGAGTGCTAAAACTTGTTTAGGGCCTTTACCTGGCTCGATACACGCTGGTGTTTCCGGTGGTGTTTGGGGCATTCCCACCGTAGACAAGAGGGTACATAGTATTGTTGAGATCAATTGTGTTTATGGAAGTGCCCTGCACATTAAGATTAAGTACGTTAAGCCCAAAATTTAGGGGGTTAAAGGTGGATACTTATAACTAGATCCATCAATTCAAAATACAACACTATAATGATATGATATTAGTTCGAGTTGATATGTGATTCGAAATGATCCGACTCAATCCTTTGATCCCTAAAAATCAACACATTAGTAGTAAAACTAATCTAAAATAATATAGAACACATAAATATACGAAAATTCAAAATAACTTAACTAACAACTTATAATCAAGTGCATAATAACCAAATCTGTTTGCACCTACAAACGCATTTTGCGATAATATATCTTCTTCTTTTTTTATATAGAAACACTTGTAACTTTTATTAAGTTAGCATATCAAAATGTAAGTTACATGTTTGATTAGACCTCAAATGGTCGACAAGAAAGATTGGTGCCCTATCTAGCCATTTTTCCTCAACATCCCATGAACAAAGCATGTAAGCAAGTGAGTGAGCCCCTCAATTACCATTTATTTTGCGAAAGTAGATCTAGTTATTCACTCATTCATATGTGTAACTTTTTATCTCAATTAAATTTAACAGGTTATCCCTTTTGTTTTAAGTTGGAATTGATTTTTTTTTTCTCAACAAAATCATGTTACTTATACTCTTCCAAATAACATCCACTTTGATATATTTTTTAACAAAAAAAATAAGACATGTATTACCACACTATAGTAATACTTAGTGGTAAATAAGATTATACCATTACGATGGAAGTGTCTTATGATGTTATTAATATACCATATTGCAAAATAATTGTATAGATGATAGCTGATATATACTAACCATCTTTTATCATTTTTCACCACCAACTACCACTCTATACTACCTGATAACTTTTTTCCCAGAAAGATGTATATCATAATAGATCGTGATGAACATGTTCATATATGCAAAGTTCTTCAAAATTTTAGTTTAAAATGAAGGTGATACAGAGTAGTATCAGAGAGGTAATGTATGGTGTGAAAATAATTTCTCAAAAAAATTAAAATGAACATTATTTTTAAAATCACAATAAAACCGTTATGTCTGTGGAAAAAAAATAAGATTAAAGCAAAGAACAATAGAACATACAATACAATTAAAAAAATATTAAAATAAAAAAATGATTTAATCTCACATTCTCACTCCATCAAATCCGAATCCGCTCATAGAGCAAATCAGATTATGCACCATTATTTACATCCATTTTCTCATATCCACAGAGAAATAATAAACCGTTATTTTTGGACTTACTCACCTCAAACGTTTCTCCATTCCCAAACCGAACTTGCGTGACATACTTCCTATCAGTGGTGCTAGCAGCCACGGTGAGAATCCAAGGGGCGGCATTGTTGACCGTCCCGGCGGAAGGACCCTCATTGCCGGCCGAAGCCGACGTCAGCACGCCATTCTTCATCGCATGGTAAGCTCCAATGGCGGTGGTGTCATCGAAGAAAGCGTCCGGTGTCTCACTGCCGACGGAGAGGGAGATGATGTCCACTCCATCCGCAATGGCATCGTCGAACGCCGCGAGTATGTCCGCGTCGTAGCACCCGTCGGTCCAACACACTTTGTAGACCGCGATTCGAGCCGAGGGCACCCCTCCTCGGGCAGAACCCGAACCTAGTCCGTCCATGCTCGCATGGGTGACTAGGTTCCCTGCGGCCGTGGAAGCCGTGTGGGTTCCATGGCCGTCTATGTCCCTAGGTGACTGGACATCGTCCTCGGGGTACGACCTTACTTTTCTGTAGTGTCGTGCCCCGATTATCTTGCTGCGAAAAAAGGAGCATATGTTCAAAGTTTACAATTTTTTTAGACGTATAAATGAATGATATAAGATTTGGGAGTGTATTGTTAGTTGTTACTTGTTGCAAGTGAAATTGGCCGCCGATGTACATGTGCCTTTCCATTTAGAGGGTGGCGGGCCGAATCCGGTGTCGTTGAAGCTTTCGGATTCGGGCCAAATTCCGGTGTCGATAACTCCGATCACGATGTCACTCTCGACCTTGGTTCTTCTCTCGGCTTTGGTCTCAGGTAGCCCGACGTAGCTCCATGATCTTGTAGTGTGGAGCTTCTTCTTTCGGCTAGGGAAGACTGAAACCACTCCCTCCATCCCTAGAGAGCAAGAAAAGAAGTCGTATAGATATGACAATATACAAGGTGGTCAGAATTAGGAAATTGAAATAAGAAAAATACGATGGTCCACAAGTGTCTGCACCATCACTCTAAGGGCTTGTTTGCCACTATATGAGAAGCATCCCTATTATACATTTATACTAACGTTGAGACAAAGTCTAATTAAGGTTTAAGAATCAAATTAAATTTATAAAAATGCACATATTTACTTTGTTCATGAGAGAAAATAGGAGGAGGGGAAAATTTTGAAAAAATTGTTGGGATCAAAAAATTTCCATTGTTCATGAGTTTGTTACACATACATGGGATGATTATTTTGGGGGGAAACTACTATAGCAATTGCTCCCTCAAATTGGGGTGAAAAAATATCTTCTTTTTCTTTTCCCTTTCAAATATAAACATCATTTTCCCCTTCTCATTTCACTATCCTCAAACTTTTATTCTCTCTAAATTACCGGTCGTGTCCCAAAAAAATTCCCGTCTTTCATGAACATAGTGTAAAAGAGTAGAAGACAGTTGCATAAGGAAAAATCAAAGTTGTCTGTAGTCCCTAAAAGCATTTGGGGATGATACTGGTGGTCCCAAAATAAACCTATTTAATTTTTTGTTTATTATAAGATGCATGTATTCTCAGAATATGCGAACTCGACGATTCCTAAACGTAATTTTGGCCCAAGGACTCTCACCAGCCAGCATCTTGACTTGATCACTTGTTAGCATGGCAGCAAAGCCACTGAAGCTCCTCCAGTAGCTGTAGATCATTGAACCAGCCAATCCATTGCTGCATATGTGGAACCATAAAACCCAGAATTTGGAACAGGTCAATCGAATATATTATTTCCCCTTTCTTTGTTTCTTAAACAAAGCTAATAAATGGATGTGTGACCTGCCAACAACTTTTTGCAGCACATTGGTTTGGAGCTGCTGCGTGGAGAATGGACCAAGTTTCTTTGGAAGCTCACCCATGTACACAATATAAACCTGTGTGGAGAATGTACCACATTTCGACCAGCGCCTTAACTATAAGAAGAAGACTCAGAAATGAAGAGAAAAAAGAAAGAATGGTATGCAAGACTTGCCTGTCTTTCGACATCTGAAGAAGCAGCAGCAGTACTGAAGCTGATAAGCAAGGCAGAAGATATTACTATGGAACCAAGGAAGAAGAGGGTTAGTGACAGAGGTGAAATATGGTGAGAAGGTATAGCCATTGGAGATGGAGATGAGATATGGATTGATTTGTTGTGCAAGTAGTAGCTTAGTGTGACAGAGTCAAAAAGGATTGAATGAGCCTTTATATAGACAGACACAAGCTCTTACGGGCCGATAGGTAGAATCTGAGGTAGAATCACTGGCCGGCTGCATGGACGGCCGTAGGCGTAGATTCATTCGTTGCAAAGCAAGGATAGATGCAATCACTTCGTCGTTGTTTGTTTGGAGTTTGATGATAACACTTGTGGAGTGGAGAGTGGTATCCTATGTTTTTTTGCACAAAGCCTCTACTCTATTTGACTCGACAAGCTAAGCCGGCCCATGACCAGCGCCAACAATGTTTCTTGTATGCGCAAAGGGTAAACTAAGGTGTGGTAATGCAGATAAGGGTTTAGTCCGGTGGTAATACTACTGTGTCAGCGCAAGCCACAAAACATCCTCACGGCTCATGCTCACTCAAACCTCCCAGTATTGTACAAGTTTGGCGTTAAAGATCCAAGGAATATGGAGCTAATGCGTGTAAATTTCTCAGAATAACAGCAGCAACCAAATCTTAGGAAGAGGAATGGAAGGTTAAAAGGGACTCCAATGAGTAATAAGAAACTTTTCTTTCAATTTCAGCCTAACAATAGTCACATTGTTATTATATGATCACTTTTGGAAGAAGAAAATAATCAGACTAGAATGTACAGATTCAGCCACAAGTAACCATTGTATAAATGTGTTTGTCTATAACTGAAGGCCAGATACAAGACTTCGTAAGTTTCTCCCGTCCATATAGATGGAAGATCTTGGATCAACAATTTACAACGAAGAACAACAACAGCAGCAGCAGCAGCAATAACACACTATTGATCTGCCTGAGATTCTGCAGTGTAAGGCTCTAGCTGTCCTTGGTTTCCAAGTAATCCAGAAACAATAGGTGCCACTGTCCACAAGTTGTCGTGACATCTGGGATGTGTTTCAGGCAAGCTATAGATTCAGAGTGATTTATGAAACATGAAAACCATCTCTGCACAGATAAATGAATGATCAATGTTCCTGGATGCTTAAGAACAAATTTCTCGAATATTCTGGTTAGGAAGTCTACCATTGAAGCAGGCTAAATATCAAATGCTGGTTGGACTAGGATAAGTTTTCCTCGATGAGATTGACAGAGCATAAAACTCTGGGTGAAAAGTATACATGGGTTAATAAGCAGGCTAGGAATCCAATTGCAAGAAGGATTGACAGAATTTTTGTTAATGGAGGAACAGTTTCAGATCATTGTGGGTTAATGGTTGAGTCTTCTCCCCAGCAAAAGTCACTTCCCAAACCATTTAAATACTTCTCTTCCTGGAGTCCGCACCCTAAATTCAAAGACATTCTGCAGGAAGTATGGGGAACAAGAGTAGCAGGTTATCCGTTTTACAGAGTATGTCAGAAACTTCGTATGCTAAAACGGAAGCTTAAAGAATTGATTAAGGAGTTTTTTGCTGATATTTCCCTCAGAACACGAGAAGCAGAGAAAGAGCTTGCTATTGTACAAAAGGTTGCTCTAGCTAGAACTTCAGTTGAAATCTTTGAGAGAGAGGCACAATGTATGATTTAGTGTACTGAGTTGCAGAGGGCCGAGGAAGCATTTTATAAGCAGAAAGCAAGAGTACAGGCAGTTATGGAAGGGGATCTTAATACAGGGTATTTCCATGAGTCTTTGAAAATAAGGCAGAACTGAAATAAGATTTCTTTACTCAAGAAGGATGATGGGACTGAGGTTACAGATATTGAAGAAATAGGGGCAATGGCAGTAGAGTTTTATCAAAATTTGCTTGGAAAAAGAAATGAAGAAGTGAAGGAGTTAACTATTGACGAACTCAGGAATTTACTCTTCCATCATCTTCCAGATTCAGAAGCAGGTAATCTATGTAAACCAGTCTCAGCAAAAGAAATAAAGGAGGCTATGTTTGGTATGAGCTTAAACAAAGCCCCTGACCCTGATGGTTTTCCAGTCGATTTCTATAGAGCTGCTTGGGATGTGGTGGGACAGGAGTGTGTGGGGCTATCAATGGGTTCTTTCTTAATGGTGTTATGCCTAGAGAAGTAAACTCTACTATACTGACTCTGATTCCCAAAACTGAGAATGCAGATCGTATGAGGTTGTTTAGACCAATATCTTGTTGTAATGTACTCTATAAATGCATTGCCAAGATATTGACCAATAGGTTAGCAAGTGTTATCCCCTGTTTGATAAGCAAAACCAGTCTGCCTTTGTACAGGGGAGGAGTATCAGTGATAATATCCTATTGGCAGCAGAGTTAGTCAATGGTTATAGTAAGAAGAACATTTCCCCAAGGTGTACAATGAAGATTGATTTGATGAAAGCCTTTGACTCAATGGATTGGACATTCCTGTTGAATGTGATGAAGGCAATGGGGTTACCTGAAAGGTTTGTAGGTTGGAATACCTCATGTATTACAACCCCAATGCTTAGTGTATCAATAAATGGAGGAACTTGTGGTTACTTCAGAGCAAAAAAAGGGCTGCGTCAAGGTCATCCCTTATCAACATTCTTGTTTACTTTGGCTATGGAAATTTTAAGTTGTGTATTGAAGAGAGCTGCTGACCAAGGGACCCTACCATATCATCCTCGTTGTAAGAATTTGGGAATTACTCATCTGGCTTTTGATGACGACTTGTTAATTTTCTCTAATGGGACTGAGCAGGCAGTGAGGGAGGTATGTAGTCTATTACATCAGTTCTATGTGATGTCTGGATTGAGATTTAATCCTGAGAAAAGTCAGCTCTATTGTGCTGGAATGCCTGATAGTCAACATGGGGGACTTGCTGTCATTGCTGCCTGTCAAATATCTGGGGGTGCCTTTACTAGCTGGAAGGTTAAATGCTCATGATTGTAAAGCGTTGGTTGATAGGGTGACTAAAAGGATAGCTGGTTGGAAGCCTAGAATGTTGAGCTACAAGGGAAAAGTCCAGCTGATCAGTTCTGTTATAAGCAGTATGATGCAGTATTGGATGAATGTTTTCATTCTCCCAATATCTGTAATTAAAGAAATAGAGGCTAGATGCAGTCAATTCCTTTGGGGGATTGATGAGAATTCTGCTAGAAGAAGAGCTGTTGTTGCTTGGGACAAGCTCACTGTGCCCAGGAAAGAAGGGGGACTGGGTATCAAATGCTTACGAACCTAAAACTTAGCCTGCTCTACTCGATACATCTGGAACATCCTTGCAAAAGGTGGTTCCTGGTGGGTGGCCTAGATAGGTATGTACAGACTTAAGCATAAGTCTTTGTGGGAAGTAAAACAAAGCAGTGGCTGTTCATGGGTGTGGAGAAAGTTACTCAAAACTAGGGATAAGGTGGAGTCTTATATCACCTGCTGGGGAACTCAGTTGCTATGGAATCAGAAGAAGATGGTAAGGTACTCAGTTAAAATGGTTTGGGAAGATCTCAGAGTTAAGAAACCCAAAGTGAATTGGTACCAACTTAACTGGGCTCCTTATATGCTGCCAAGGCATTGTTTTTTGAGTTGGATGGTTATAAAAAAATATAAATGATAAGATCGTTACTAGAGATAAGCTTGTGCAGTGGGGGAAAAGCACCAGAGATACTTGCTTGTTATGTGGGCTAACTGGAGAAACAACATCTCACTTGTTTTTTCAGTGCAATTTTTCAGCAGCAGTACTTAATGGAAGTATGAGTCTGGTACAGGTGAGCTGCAATGCTCAAATGCGGTTTGAAGATCACTTGAAATGGGCAGAGAAGGCTTTTGCAGGTATGAAACCAAAAGCTAAAGTTGGGAGATTGATCTGGAACTTGACAGTAAGCATGCTCTGGAGGGGAAGATGTGGAAGGCTTCATGGAGATACAATTGCAGATGCAGGGGGAGTGATCAGTAGAATAAAAAGAGTTCTGGAATTGGTAATTGCAGGCAACCCAGCTATGGCAATGGACAGGATTCAAATTCAGGAGGGATAAAAACAGCTACTGTGTGTTTGTCTTGTTGGAAAAAAAGGACTATTGTGTGTTTGTCTTGTTGTATATATGTTAGTTATTCTGTCAAAAGGGATAGGAGTTTTGTTAGTAGAGGTGAAGTTTCTAGTTGTAGTTCTAAACATTTGGGTAGAGAGGATTGGTTTTCCCTCTCTACAATGAGCTCTAATAAATCAATTTGATTGCCCATCAATTAAAAAAAAAAATGTTTTCCTCAATGTATCAGGAATCCTAACTCTAGTAGGATCAGGAATATCCTAATTCGACTCTGCTTATCTTCATTTGATAAGAGGAATTATCAATTGGTACCAATGGGTTTGTGCAAAATCTTGGAAAAGGAGTCGAGTATCAAATTCATAATGGATCAATGGGCAAAATGCAAGGTGAACAGCAAAGGCTACAAGAAAAATCACAACTTACCTGATAACAAGTCACAGTTTTAGCTTTATCTTCTCGGACCACTTAAAGATATCAGAATAGACACGATCACCACCCAAATCATCCCCTGAATCCCCAGCTGCCACCCTCATTACATCTTCAATCAGTGCGAAATTCCCCATGATATCGACATGGGCACCACTCTGCGTTCCCCTGCCTTCCAACAAATTAGCTGGAGGAGAATGATCATATTCCCTGATGTAAGTCCTTATTCCAGAAGGATTGAACCTGGTCTTCCCCCGCCAACCTTTGGCACACATGTAGCCCGCACTCAAGGCAGGAACCGTTTCATCACCATCAACTGTGTACACTCCATCTTTGAGACAGCTATCTTTATCTTCCCCTACAGCCGAGGTATCAATCTGGAATGGAATATAGCATTCAGCGGAAGGAGATAAACGATAGACATAAGCTCTTTCTGTCGGTATGCCAACTCCATACATGGAAAAGATTTCCATATCCGGAGCATTAGGTAACCTGAAGAAACAACGCCAGGAATGCCGGACAATAAATGTTAATATACCAAATAGATAGCCAAGAGGTGACTGCTATGGAAACGGACTCAATGCATTGGAAGCAAGATAGTCAAACTATACAAAAGTTGCCAATAAATCAGCAAGAACACTCACTTGGTCTCCAAGGGGTTTGACCAGTATTTGTAGTGGTTGTACTTGGGATCATCAAGGTCATCGGCAATTCCATAGGAGAAATGACAACTTCCTCGATCCATCATTTTCGGGGCAACGAAACGAAGCAGGTCTACAATAGATCCAGCAGTGTACGCCTTATATTCTGCACAAGCATTTATCCCTCCAAACCCCATGTCGTGGTACTCTGTCCACACATCACGACAAGTAGAGTTTGCAACATTTTTACCTTTCAGAGCATCCTGCATGCATGTTGACGTATAAAAAACCAGCAAAAGTTGGAACTTTTTGATACATAATGATGAAGCCACGTTTCCTGAACAAAAAACAAACAAAAAACTTACCCTGAAATCTATCCTCTCAATCTCAGATGAAGGTGCTTCTGCTACTTCTTTTCCAAAGGATATGATCCTTCCATAGTGAGCCTTCGCTGTCTGAGAAGGCTTACTGTCACTCCCATCTTGATTTTTTATGTCGGTTTCATTGTTTTTCTGCCCTCTTTTACTAGGAGAGTAGCCATCCTCTGGAGACCAGTCCAGATCACCCCAGATAGTATCCCCACCTCTAGGGATCATAGACATGGTTGAGTCCCATGTACGAGACATTTTCATTATATGCTGTAATGTTTGGAGGCGGAAGATATCATTGTCCAAGAAACCTGGAGTAAGGGCCCTGCATCACAGATGCATTTTCCCCATATAAGAATGAACCCAAGTGATCAAGCAACAGGCTTTCGGAATAAAGATCAACTCCCACCTCCCCTTTGAGGACTATGTTCTTGATTATGGCATATAAGGACTAGACAAATGAATCCACAGTTGAAAAACAGCTAGATCAGTCTAATAGTTTTAAGATGCATCAACCAACAAGATTTAGGCAGACTATCATACTTTGCTTTGTTCACATTTCAAACAAGAAATCAGAAGATCAGAGGTTCAAAAAAATGAGTACAGTGGAAAAATAACCTGACAACTGCAATATCCCTTGCTTCAGCAGAGAAAAGTCCAGTAACAGCTTTTGGAACACCTAAAAAGGGTCCACCAATGTTTATCACTGCCTTGATATGCTTCGCACACCAATCTGGTCCACCCCCACCGCCCATTGGAGCTGGTGCTTCAACCCATTTCATGAAATGCAGAAAGTACAAAACACCCATAGAATGTGGAATAATGACCGCCTTATTCCCACCATTTGTAGCGACCATCAGTTCTATATTACTTTTGGTGCGGCTCAAAGTTTGGTCACGAACCTGACAATCAAGACACACCCTGGTCAATCTCCAAACCAAACAAGTAGAACATTTGCTTACAATATTACAAGCAAATATATTGAAGTTAAGAAAAGGGCATTAAGCCAACACCTCTGTGTTCTGGAACGAAAGTCTCCAATCATAGGACGCCATGTACATTGTCTTCTCCTCATATCCTATGCGTGCCAAGTTGGCAATAAGAACTGCCCACACGAAATATCCAGGAGCAAAATAATCAGCAGCTACAAGTCCAGATACAGGCCTGACTCTTATACCAGGAGGATCCAAACCGGTTTCATTATCTAACGACATATGCTCGGTCCAGCAGAGAGGCCTGCACAATGTCAAATAGCCCATGAAAATCAATCCTTCAGAGAACCCAAAGGGAGAACAAGGAATGTTGAAGGTCACACGAGTCATGAAGCTCCTGAGTATATGAATTTAATGACATCCCAAGTCATTTCTGATCACAACCAGATAGATAATTCATGGGATTTGCTCTCTAGATCAGTGCAAATTCCACATTGCCTACTTGCCAGAAAAAATTAAACCAATAAAAATTAGATGTTCTACAAAGTAAGAACACCTCACTTCCCAGAACCAAGTCAGAATTTTTTTTGCACCAACCTATATCACCTTTCCATTCCAAGCACTGTCCACTATCTTACGCAATTGACATATAAGCTAAACCACAGGGGGAACATAATCTTTCAATAACCAGATCAAACCAAAAGTATAATCACTAAACCCACTTTACTACATATGACCAATTCCCAATTCACCTCCAGAAATTCCCATCAGCAGAACAAGGAAATTGGTGCATTACCTCTTATAAACCTCACCAAAAGTACCGCCCCAAAGCCGCTTCCTAAACAACCCTTCAGCACATTGATGACCTTCCCACAATTCCAACCCAGCGGTGACAATTCCGGGGACAAAGACAACAGGATGCTTCGCCTTGAGCCCTTCCTTCTTGAGCTTGACCCCTGGCGGGTCGGGCGAAGGACCCGTGATTGCCTCGGTGACATACTGCGGGAAGGAAGCCGGCATGGCGTTGTACAGAAACAGCAGGACCCACCAGGTCAAACATACGCAGCCGACGAACCAGCAGCAGTTGTCGACGCACGACCATTTCGACCGCTTCCGGTGGTGCTTCCTCCCGTCCTCTTCTTCCTCCGATGGCAGGGCCGGATGCTTATTATCGGCAGAAGCGGCGGCGGCTGCAGCGGCGGCGGCCTTCTTCTTTCGCCTCCTCTTGTTGTTGTTCTTCTTCCTCTTGCTGTTGTCCGCATCTTGTTCATAATCTTCTTCCTCTTCTTCTTCTCCTCTTCCCGTCGTCCCTCCTCCTCCGCCCCTGGCGTCATCCGACGGTGCCGAGGTGGTCGGCTTGTCGGAATCGGCGGGTTTTCTCCGGCGGAGTGTCGGCATTTCGTATTTGTTCCCCTTTTTGGCCGATTCGGAAGGGACCAGAGAACTGGAGGAAGCCGCCGGAGCGGACTCGAGAGAAAGGTCAAGAAAAAAAGGGGATAATTAATTATTTTAATTATTTATTGTAAAGTGCCGGAAACGGGTTTTCCGGGTACCGGGACGAGCTGTAGTGGGTCCAACGGTGCGGGTATTACAGCGATGGAGGCCACGTGTAGGGACAAAATTGGTTCAATGGTGGAAGACTGTTGAAGCAACGGCATGTCGTTTGGAATTGGGTCATTGCCCTCCATTGGGCTGTCTGGCCTATGGGCCACAAGTCCTTTATCTATATCTACAAAAGAGTTGGGTAGAATATCAAAACTATATTTATATATAGTCGGGCTTGAGATATCCATGGTTAAACATGGATAATAATTTTTTTTTAGAACTTCAATGATCAATGTTAACAATTACACATATATTGGCGTTGCATAAGTGAAAAGTTAAAACAATAAATTACTAAAATAAATCAAATAAGTTAAAAATAATATAATTTTATAAAAATATTATATATGTATGATAAATATCAATTTGATAAAATATTTAAACAAAATATATATGCATGTGTATAATCGGACGGGGTCGGATTGGAGAAGCGAGAAAACCATGTACACTTATCACCTGCAATACTGGGGTTCGAATTTTACTCATACCCATTAAAAAAAATAGGTTAGAATTTTGCCACCCGATTAAGTCGGATTCGGGTGGGTATATATCGACGAGTACAATTATTTTTGTCATTCCTAGGAGATGAGTTTGTGAGACAGGAACATGTCAAACTCCCTGCAGTCATTTGGATGGATGTGTTAAGTTCGAAAATGATGTTCTTATGAGTTGAATACAGATTATCTGTCGTCGATCGATTGTAAATCACGATGGTCTACGTTTGATGTACTGTTTTGAACTTGGTTTGTAGCCATTTCATTTTCAAGTTGGATTAGGTTAGGCCGTCTGAAGAAGGAGTTGTATATATATTCTCAATCTCTGTAATGTGTATCTCATCAAGTGTAGTGAAATTGTTATTCGATCTCTTGCCCGTAATCGTAGCTAATACACATCATGTTAGTTAACCACGTAAATCTATATATTTTTACTTTCTTCTATTGTGTTTTTCTCAATCCGGTATACGCGATTGTACGGATGGGGTTTGCAATGGCTTGGTGTGCTAAGGACACAACGAATCGCGGAGCAAGTGAGATGGATATGATCTTTATGTTTGTGTGGAAGCGGTTGAATTAGGTAATCTTTATTGCTTAGACTTGCTCTTTCATTTTGGATTTTTCGATGTCTGCTGACTCTATCATTCATTGTGCAATGCAATTGCATGGTTCACTAATCTGGAAAAGAGAAGGTGAATAAAACTCTGTTTCAATTAAAAAAACAACTGCACTTAATTTTGTGTAGGGATGGCAACAGAATTGGGTGCATGGCTGGTTTTCTTATACATCATCAAAAGTCACGATTTTAGACTGTAATAATCATCGTAAATCGTAACTAAATATTAATAATTATCATAAAACTAATCGTATGTGGTTAGAAAAAACTTATTTGCACCATATCTAGTTTGAATTGAATCTAAACTTATGGTCAAGTCCCACATCTAGAAGTCCCTATCAATACGCAATATCAAGAAAATTCCAATAGTTTGATCATCATGGTTTACCACCAACACAAAGGATAAAAGAGAACCTCCTATAGCTACACTTGAAGAAGAAGAAGGGCAACTCGTGCTTTGTGTAAAGTGATCGAGGAGAACACCTAAAGAGGGGAGTTGATAAAAGGGAAAAGGAACGTACGTGCATGTAGTAAGTAAGCTATTGGCTTTATTTGCTTTTAGGACCAATTTTTGAAAGAGTACAAATTCCAACTCTTTCTTTCAAAATTTTGGATCGTGTTCTTCTAGTAGGGGGCCAAGTCCCCAATATGTAGGCTTCCAAAGCAAAAAACAAAAAACAAAAAAGAAGAAGAAGAAGAAGAAAAGAAAGCAAAGAAGCAAAGCATCAATCTTTCCACAAAGTTTCATCATTTGAATCACACCCCAAACTTATGTTCCTTAACCAAGTTGATGATCAAGGTAGCTCGATCTCTTTTGCGTCACCAATAGATGCCATGAAAGTTACCAAAGCTAAAGCTTGCCCCTTTGATAAAGTGAGTTGTGTTTCAATTTCAGGATCTTGTATATTCTCTCGGGTAGAAAAAAATAGGGTGTTCTGTAGCAGATTAAATATCAAAAGATATATTTATTATAAGAAAATAACATATATATACTATCAAACGCGAGATAAATAATAAGTAGAATCAATATAGTAAACTTTCAAACGTATTCTTTTCGGCCATAGGATTGCAAAATTTACAGCACCTTCGAAGAATGTCGAGCCTTGATCATAAAGAAGAAAGGATTAATACGTAATAGCCCACCATCAAGTCAAGTTTCAAATGTCTAATCAACATAATTACACATATTAAAAACCTCATTCCCCAAATACTTAGGTCCATATACATACAAAAATGAAGAACAAAAGTTGTGTCATTTGCAATAATGAACCGCAAAAGGCAAAACCATATATATGCTGTACGTATTGCCGTAGCTTAATCAAGTATAATTAATATAACCCCCCTTTTTAGCTTTCATAATTAATTAATGTGTCACACACATGCACTAACTATCATGAATTATGCATTCACGAAATCTGGAAAGGGGTAGGCTTGTTGGACATTTTGGCGTTGAAAAGATAGACATGTCCCTCAGTTTAGTCTAAACCAACCAAGTTAAGTTATAATGGAGGAGACAAAAGGTTCACCAAAGTGGAACTGCATGCTAGCTAGCTATTGTGTCTAGAGATATAGAGACCGATTAACTAATATCGATTTAAGTTGTAGCTTTGAACAAAGTAATCCTTAAACTCACTACTTTATTCTTTGACAAAATTGTAATATGAGGTATGAAATTTAATGAAGCAAATAATTCAATCATTATCAGAAATTTACTATTGCCGCGATGAAAGAGACCTATTAGTTCAATCAGAAATTCAGAATTAACTAGATATGGATCCAAATTCGCTTCAGACAATGTCAAATTTGATAAATTTTTGTTTGTTCGGGTCAATACCGGTTAATTTGGAAGGTTAACCTCTCAAACCAGTCAACCTGAAACGTTGGACTTGAACTCATGTCATTTAAGTGAAGGTGTGTGGAGTATTCCAACAACCTAAACTACATAGAACTAATGCTTAAGAGTAAATGTAGAAATTAGTATTGATTTTCAAAATTATCAAGTCATAAGTATTTTTTTTAAAATGGCAAGTGAGTGTTCTTTTCTAAAAGATTTCATATGGATTAATGATCGTTTAGTAGCTAAAAAATAATCTATCTTATTAATCCAGGTCATTGTCCGATCCGAATTTGACAATACTACAAGAAAAGTCAATCCTTTAGGATACCCAATATTTATTCTGGCAATCACAACTTCATTCAAAACCAAATCTTATAATGACTTTCTCTTCAAGTCACCTTTCGACTTTTGAGCCACACACACTTCAACAATCTAACAAGTCCCATATGGAAGCTTGATACAACATGTTGTCAGCTGTAAAGGGTGACTACGTTGTTTTAAGACAGCTTATTTGTGTTTGGATTTTTGGAGTGTCCCCTAAGTTATTGTAATTAATGCAACTCACCAAATCCAGTACATAATCAATCAAAATTTCTTCCACGTGCCAATGTAAAACGTCTTCAATACTTGTACCAAACAACTGCTGTCTTTGGTCTTTGGGAATTTGAAGGGTGATGTGCTCATAATTTGTGTATTAACTGATGATCTGAACTTTCTTTTGACTTTGTTACAATTTTTATTAATCAAAAGTAGTCAAATTATGGTGAAGGGACTTCATGGTTGCATTTATGATTGGGGGTTATAAAAAAAATAGGCGGGGGATTGTCAGATAGTTACCTAAGGGTTTTAATTGTCATGTGAGATGTGACCAAACTTTCCTAATTAACTAATAGTTATACCCACCGGCCGGCAGTGTACATATCTCACCTAGAGAAATTTTACAATGTTGGTGAGTAACGATGATTTTATGTAAAAGTTGAATTTGTATCATAAAGTTGAATGTACAAGTTGAATTTGTATTCTAAAGTAATTTGTATGAAAAGGTATGGTATAAATTGAATTTGTAACATAATACTAAAATCTATATTCAGTTTATACCATAGAAAAATTTATACAAAATAATATTGGTATAGACTAAATTCGTATCATATGATGTTATAAATGTATAAGTTCAGTTTGTATTACTGAACAAACCAATGAAAAAGGTGAATATAGAAAGACTCAGCTTATGGTTTATATTGCATACATCGCGAGGTTTGCATGAATGACTAGCTACTTGGATGATTGTATGTCACTTGAATCGTCATACTCTTTAGTCTTTACATACCAACAATGTGTACTTTCAGAAAATTGTGTAATATTGGGGAAAAGTTTGTCGAGGATGAAGTAGTGATATTTGGTCCTCGGGCTCGTAATGAGTGCGAACAATTTGAGCATTTCGTTGATTAAATTTACGAGTATGAATAATTAAGTAGAAAGTTAGATATTTTGTTGTTATTGTCGAATAACATCTCATACCTCTTTTACTTGTCTAACGATATTGTTTAGATCGTCAAGCATTTCATCGATCATCACCTAAAGGGAATATTGGCGCATCCTCTAAATATACCGTTTCTATTTTAGGCTTCAATACAAGCTCTTCTCGATTCAAAATCGTCGATAATTTTGATGAAATTTTAGAGAACGTCGTAAGATGCGCAGATGATACACCTCCAACCAACAAAACTACCCATTTTTCTATAGACATTAGTTAGTGGGCATGAAAGGGAAGAGAAGTAGCTAGGTACTAGGTACATGAATCATGGTGAGCAGCAGGTTCTTTGAATTTCCATTGGGTTTTGGTTGAGAATGAGCATACAAAATCCCATGAAACATGAGCCGCTAGAAATGGATAGTGAGTATCCCACAAAGATTCTTGTGTTCCACTTCTGCAGCTTGAACTACTCTACTTCGATTATATTGTTTGCATGATTGTAGGTCCATTGTCCTGTGTTCTTAGTGTGTTTGTTACTTACATGCATTGCATTCTCCTCCCTAAAGCTCCATATCTTATATATGTTTTATTTATTATACTTTGCATTTGGAATTTTTTTAATGAATGCAAAGCATTCTAACCTTCATTCAAAACTAGTCGGGATTCGGAGATCCCCATGAATGTCATACAAAAGTCAATACATCAAAGTATGATGATAATAAAAAAAACTGACACAAATTGAAAGTCGAGCGCCAACTGATGACCTCTGACAAAAACGAAAGTATGCACACTTATTGCCCTCTCTGTAAACAAGGAAAACCGTAACTCTCAATCTTTTTGCGACAAAAACTGGAGTCGATCAATTACTGCAGCGTGTTGGTGATCTGGATTGGTAAAGCAATGGACGAACTGGATGACACATCGAAAATCGAGCTCCATTGTGGCACGTCTATAACATATGTCTCAAACAAGCTTAAGTCCTTCAACGAGGCTTCTCAATCATAAATACATCTTTCCATCAAGCAAAAGAAACATATGAATCCATAATTCACGTGACTCAATCATAGATACATCTTTCCAACTTCCTATATACGAAACTAAAGTTTTCCCTGAATATCTTAATTGGGGTCCTCATACCTCAATAATACAATAAGCTACATTTTATTTCAAATGTTGTATTCTTACATATTTATATTGACCATAAGTCCACAAGTATGGCCGATTATAACAACAAATTAATAAATAAAGCCGCAATATATGTACTTTAGCTTTGCTCAACTAAAGTACAATGCAAACACAAAAAAACTAACATCCTCAAAGCCAGACTCAAAACAACTATAAATATAATTATTTGTGCATGATAATTAAGGATAATGCATTTGAATCTTAATATATGATCTTGTATGCAGAACAAAATAAATTATTTTTATGGTCCAAGCAAATTTAAAATTGTTGCATCATGAATCAACGACGAATTAAAAAAAAAAACTAACGTGATTATGGTTACAATTGCTCTCATTAGAAAAGGGTACCTTGTACATGATAGAGATACATAATAATTTCTGCATAAGCTATTAATTATCTTATCTTTTTTTATCAGCTATTTAATCCTATCTGCATATTACTTCTTGTTTGGTTTTCTACATCTGGACTAATTACTACTATTTTTATTTTTTTTTATGTCAAGTTGACACATGATATAAAGGAAGATTTCCTCCTCCCTGTTTTACTGGTCCTAGGAATGTCCATTTGGACCACTCATCATGATATAGTTGTGTTGCAAACAAGATTAAGAAATCTGGCTCCAGCCAGTGTTATATGGGAGTTATCAAAACAGGCATTAGATGGAGGACAAGCTTTCTTAGCATTATTCTATAGCATGCTCAAGCGATTGGTATTGTCCCAACCAGATGAACATCCTCTCATCACACACACCTTATCATCTCAACAATTGGATGCAACCAATGTTGCTATTTTTGCCTCACATGTCAATTTTGCCAGAACGTGTTCAGAGGTGAGATTGGCGGTGTCGGATAGAGTGTTTGATTCTTTCATGATCGCTAAATGGAAGCGAAACGTCCACCACTTGATTCAACGACTTTCAACTTGCAAGCACGTTCTCACAATGATGTAAAAGGAGCATTCACATTCACATTCCATTTGATTGAATTGATAGTCCCATCATCATTTTCAATCATGGTAGTATAGCTTCACAAGCTAGCTAGGTTTCATGAACCCATGTAAGTCTTGCCAAGTAGGGTTTGTCTAGGTACAACTTACCCACCTCTACTCTCATAAATTTCTACGCCTCTCGGCTTTTAGGGTTTTGCTTGTTGGGTGTTGTGGAGACAATGCCATTTAAACTAGCTAGCAAGGTGTAATTTATTTGTACCAATTTTGAATGATTGAGGGGAGGGATTGGTGTGGTATAATGGAAACTAAATGACTGGTTCAGGAGAGATTGAGAGTGCATTGAAGAAAGAGTTCTTTTCATTGATCAGCATTCACCAAAGAGTTCTTTTCATTGATCAACATTCACCAAAGGACTAATAGTATGGTGAAATCTGCAGGTAGTGGCATAATTTCGGCTTTCCTTGACATGCTAGGTCCACGGGAGTAGTGATGGCTCTTTCTAATCTGACATGTCCCGAATTTTTTTAAGACGTGTATTACTCTATTTGTTTAGCGCAAGTATTATCATATCCGTAGTAGTAGTATAATACAGAGTATATGTATTACTTCCGACCTGTCATGTCTCGTTCTCAATATATTCTACCATGATTTTCATTAATTTTATATGTATTTCTTCTCTTATGACCTCTCTAAAATCATATTTGCATCCCGAAGAAATATGTAAAACTCTATCTTTCAACTATTTATACTAAAATTTTCCTTTTACTATATTTCTCATTCGTTTATGAAGTGTTTTCTCTATGTGTTCTTGTAAAATAGTTAAATATTAACGTGAATTTTCAAATATCACATAAGAAAGGGTAGACTCGCCCACTCTGTACCTGCACGGGTATTATACTACCTGACCCACACTTAGTGTGGAGTGGGTTGGGTATTGAAGTACCCGCCTTGCTATCACTACATTAGAGAAGGAAAAGTACAACATAGATTTTGAATTTGATATTTCCAAGTTGAAAATCAATGATTAGACCACTACATTAAGACATTAACCTCTCTTTCGTTACTTTTTCGTGGTATTTGAATTTAGATGGACTTTTGTATATGTGAATATCTTGAACAAGGTAAGCTTAATCACAATACGATTTTTTGTCGAACAAGGATAAAATTTTACTATCGTAGTGGAATTATATTTTTTAGACTTTTTAGAAAGGAGTTATCAAAACCAATTAGAAATTCCGCTCCATCTACGTACCATTTTCTTTTAACTTTTTTTTTTTTTTTGGGTACACCATACAATTTCTCGTCACATTGGAAAGTACCCAGAAGATCATAAACAAAGTGAAGATAAATCAAAGGATTTGACAATCCTCTATACGTGTGATTATCAATATCCAAATCTGATCATCTTAGATATGAAAGATGGACCATAACTCATGAGATCTTTCATTTCATGCATGTAATAATCCGGTTTCTTGATCTTAATTGAAAGTTAAATACTTGTTTTAGGGTGGAAACAAACCCTAAAAACAATAGAAACCCAGGCGAAATCCAAAACTCCAGTACAAACAACAACGCCTCACTTTCTCGCCGTCCCACCCTACTCTGCAATCGAATCCCCATTTCGCTTTCGCCATAAAAAACAGAGACCTCCCGAAAGAGCAACACACGATTAAAACCACACAAAAAGAGACGACGGAAAGAAAAAGCACCACCAGCAGCAGCAGAAGAAGAAGAAGAACCAAGTTCCCCTGCCACTCCACTTCCCCTCCTACATTACATAACTCCAAGATTTCAGCTTTTTCTTTTCTACTTCCCGCTTCTTCACTCTGGCGGTGAAATGTGGGCAAAAAATGGCGGAGTTCGCCCCCGTTTTTACATTTAAATATATTGGTTTCTGTTAAGTATTTATCTCTGCCCTCTGTTCTGTTTGTTTCCTCTCTCTCTCTCTCTGACTCTTTCTTAGTTGCTACTCAAAATTCTAAATTGCTCTGTTTCTGTGGGAGAGGAGGAAGTGAAAGAAAGAAATGCATTAAAAAATTTGCCCTTTTTAATAATGGCGATATAAATTCCCCTCCAATCTCTCTCATTTCATTTCCATTGATACCCACCTCCCAGTTCGCCTCAAATCTCTCTCTCTCTCTGTCCATTTCCATCGTTAACGGTCACTACTCCCTCTCTCTTTCTCGCTAGTGCACTCCACAGGACATTTAATACTCTACATTCTCTCTCTCTTGCTCTGTTTCTCTCCGTTCCAATTGAGATCTCTTTTCAGTCGAAAACCCAATTGGAGAGACTTCCATTTTCACCCCCCATCTCCAATTCCAATCCCGTAAGAATCACTGCATCTGGTCCGTATTTGGGCTGGTGGGTTCTTTATGTAGCTTGTTCCGGTTAATGGGTGGTGTTCTGATCTGCTCTCTTATTGGTTGTAGAAGAGATTGATAGGATATAGAGGAAGGAGAAGGATGTTGACGTGTATAACGTGTACCAAGCAGCTTAACGGCGGCGGCAACAATGGATCTCTACCGCAGAGAAGGGAAAGGGATGAGAATGGTCTCGACGACGATTACGCTACGGAGACGCCCAGGACGAAGCAGGCCATTAAGAATCTCACCGCTCAGGTACGGTATACTTCGCTTTTTCTTAGTGGGAAATCTATGCTTGCTTGGTTACTGATAAAATGCCTCAGAGAGAGAAATGAAAAAGGTAGAAGGAAGGAATCCATCAATCTGTGCCCTTTTTGTCTTCTTGCAGCTGAAACTGTCAACCTCCTTTGGTCTTTTTTTTTTTGTTTCCATTTGTCCATTTGAATTTGCTACCCAACAAAGAAATTGAGGAATTGAACTGTTTGAGTGTGATTGGCAGAAGAAATTTTACACCTTTGGTAATGCTTGGCCAGTTCATCTCGCAGGTCCCCTACAGATTCAGTTGATTGAAATGATTACTTATTAGTACCCTCTTTTTCCCCATTTCATTGCAGATAAAAGACATGGCGATAAAGGCATCAGGTGCTTATAAAAACTGCAAGCCATGTTCAGGTTCATCAAACAATAAGCAGCAGAATGGGAACTATGCCGACTCTGATGCGGCCTCAGATTCAGCTAGGTTCCACGGTTCATACCGTAGGGCGGCTGCGGGTGCTGCAGGTAGTTCGAATTCTACGCCTAGGATTTGGGGGAAAGAGATGGAGGCAAGGCTCAAAGGGATGTCGAGTGGTGAAGGAACTCCAGCATCTGGGAGTGGTAGGACGGAATCCGTAGTGTTCACGGAGGAAGATGAGCCTAAAGAATGGGTTGCACAAGTGGAGCCTGGTGTGCTCATCACATTCGTTTCGTTGGCTGAAGGTGGTAATGATCTCAAGAGGATTCGATTCAGGTACTTCCTACTACTTTCATGTAAATTTCTTGTTTGCTTGCTTTTGGTGGCATGATTGTGAAGTTTCTGATTTGTTCTCAAGTCTTGTGTGGTCACTTGTCTTCTGGATTGCAAGTGGTCACTCTTTGTGAGATTGTCCTTTTTCACCTCTCTCTCACTCTCACGCACAAACACACACACGCTCTCGTACAGGAGGTTGCTGTGTTCATTATCTTAATGATCTTTGATTGGTGATCAAACACTATATGGTCTGAAGCTGTGAACTTCAAATAGGGCCACCCCGAAGATGTCTTTTACAGTTTATACCTCTTTTTCTTTTCTCATGAAAGTATGTTATGGAATGGCTATGTGGCGGTATAATAAAATTTAAAAATGAAATAAAATTTAAGAGACATTAGGGTAGGAGACATACAGGTAAATATCACGCCAATTCAAAGTTGCTCATTGGGCGAGTAATATTCGAGTATAATCAGTTGGAGCTAACTAGTTAGATCCAATTTTTCATTTTTATTGAGGAGTTGGGTTTTGCTCATGCATATGGATTTGATCATTGTCAAAAACAGATTGCCACTATCCTTTGTCATTATTTTGTTCTAAAGGCTGAACTGCAACTATATTATATATCTGCATCACCTCTTTACTTTTTATTTTGCAATATGATGATGGAATTGTCCCCCTAAATATGGGGAGCACGACCCTTTACTTTAGGCCTTCCACCAACGTGGCTTTACAGCTTTTTTGCAATCGCAACAGTGAAAGGGAGAGTCCCTTTTTCATCATATGATTACCATCTGATTGGAGCTTAACAGCTAAACTGTTTTGATTAGATTGGGGCCTCTTCCTTTTTCCCCCTCCGCCCATTTCCAAATACCGCTTAGGAATTTTGATTTCCTGCAAAAGGAAAGCTTGATTGTCATCTTTCTGGTGCCTGTAAAATGTATGGCAACCAACCATTACATGGGCAGATGGAATTGTTTGGTTTGTTCAATGGGATTGTTTCCATCCACCACTACCCTTTTCTGTATCCGCTGAAAGCTGGGCATTCAAAGTGCTTTTGGTCTATTCTGTATCATTAGCCTCAAGTTTTGTCCAACTTGGAGTTGTGCTTGTGTGAGAAAAGCTTGTGTGGTTTGTTCTTTAACATTTTGTTCTGGAACCACTCATTGGTTGGAAGATGCTAATCAATTGCTTGGTATAGATGAAGATTAGTAATTTAGAATGTTAGAGAGTTTTTTAGGGAAACATGCGAGAAAACGTAAGCTCTATATTACTATTAACAGATGTTGACCTTCGATTTTCTCCAACCAGGCTTAGTTATATTCAGTTTTCTGAGTCTTCTTTTCCAGTTCCATTTACAAGCGAGCCATGATTGTACATGAGCTCATGCATATTTCCCTGTAGTTACTTCATCTCAGGAAGTTCATGCATATTCTACGAATATATGGTTGACATATTAGCCCCCCTAGACTATCTGTGGATGATTTGAGATCCTAATAAGTGTATCTTGATCTTGTGATCAGCCGTGAAATGTTCAACAAATGGCAAGCTCAAAGATGGTGGGCAGAGAACTACGAGAAGGTCATGGAACTATACAACGTTCAACGGTTCAATCAGGAAGCTGTCCCACTGCCAACACCACCAAGACCAGAGAATGAGGTTAATAAGCTATCAATTGCCTTAAACTTCTACCTGTTATGTGTACAAATGCTGAGCTTCATTCACGATAGAAAATAATTACTTAGCTTGATTCTGAACTATTGTACCAATGCTTGCCAGAACCCAAAGCCTGAATCTGCAAAAGAAAGCCCCATGACTCCACCACTAGGTAAAGAACGACCTCTCAGCAACTCACGACATCCAAAGGGAACGAGCTACATTTCGTCAGTAGACTCGATCGAGCACCATCCACAAATGCAATCCCGCCAGTACTATGATACCTCAGCTGGCCTTGCTTCAACACCAAAGCTGTCCGGGACAAAAACAGAAGCATCATCCATCGATGGTTGCTCTGCCAGGACGAGTTCATCAAGAGATGTTGAAGAAGATCATTCAGGCGAGCTCTCCCCAAGCAATGCAAGTGAAAGTGGAGCTGAATGGGTTGAGCAGGATGAACCAGGAGTGTACATTACTGTCAGAGCACTACCTGGCGGCAATCGAGAACTTAGGCGCATCAGGTTCAGGTTAGTTTTTTTCTCATTTCCTTCCAACAATTCATTGGGTCAATTTACAAAAAAACAGGCATAAATTTTGTAATTGTCTCTCATTACCGGAGACCACTGAAATCCCTCCCTTCAATGTGACTGTGTCTACCAATATAATAAACTCCATGGATCATGGCTGACATAGTATGAAATTTTCTTCCGTGGTTTTGGTTGCAGCCGACAAATGTTTGGAGAAATGCAAGCAAGGGTGTGGTGGGAAGAGAACAAAGCCAGGATACAAGAACAGTACTTGTGACACTCGTTGGACTCAAAGATTTAACAACATTCATAGTTGATGTGACAAACAATACATTAACCTCAAAAGTCGAAATCTTTTTCCCGGAGAAGATATCAGAGGTGAGAATGCTGACAGACCTCAGAATGGGACAATATACGCAGCAGTCTGGTTCTTCAGGACATGCTAACTTAACTGTTTCTACCACCACCCCCACATTTGGCCATTGGATTGTGCATGGAAATGTGTTGATGTCTTAAGAGTGATCATTTGGTGTATGTAGTAATGTTCATAACCTCAGACCTCATCAATTTCAGACTGTTATCTTTCCGACTTTCCCCCTTTTATTTCGTGGATGTAAAGTAACAAGATTGGTTGCTTTTCACTAGTGTGTTGCTTTGTGGAGCCGATATGGTAAGCAAAGAAAGAGAGGAGAAAGAAGTGAAAATGATGATCCACTCTGTTCTACACTTCAAGAAAGCTGTCCAGCGCCATCTGGGTTGTTTCTTTGTTTTTGTTTTTCTTGGCCTCTATACTCTATCAAGTTAGGGTCTCAAGTGTTGTGGAGTATGAAGCCTTATGGATTATGGGATTACTAATCTCGTGGTTTAAACAAGTCAAATAGAGAAAACCAGGGGATATATTATGATATTTAGAGTATAATTAGCTGAAGGGCATGGCAATGAACCATTAACCATATATTTAGCATGACTTGATATCATCAAAATGTAGGATCGTATTAGTCAAATTGAGTCGATAGAATCAAGAGTAATAGTGAATGATTGTATTAGTCAAATTGATTCGATAGAGTCAAGAGTAATTAAGAATGCCTGTAACTTTGTGATACTCCAAACATCTTTAGGGTGCATGATTCCTAGATGCATTGAGATCGAGTTTTTCTGAATTGTGGCTACACATGATCAAAATGGACGAGGTTACGTTGTACAAGCGGATAAACTGAAAATTGATATCTCTATGAGCAAGAACTTATGAATCCAATATATCATTGACTCGGTGACTTCACATGTTGGCATTACATCATATCTCTTTTGGCACAACAATAACGAATAAATAGTTCATAAAACAAGCGTAATAAGAATTTTACGTAAATGCGATAACCAAACTAATAGATAAAATAGGTGGTGGTACACCATAGAGGTAGCTACCTTATGAATCCAAATTTGGAGAAAGAAAATACAAACGAAATGATTGATTTTGAGAGATCGATGCATTTGAAGATACTAAAAAATTATTCCATGTTTCCTCGTTCAAATTCACCGATCTTTCAATGACCTTTTAAGACATTTAATAAATAGTTTAAAAAAATTAGATGAACAAGAAGGATAAACTAGGGATAAATCCGTCAATTCGGGAACGAAGGCCCAAATGCAGAGCGCGAGTGATTGATTTCTTTCCATTCAGTGTCTGTGTGCGGGAGGGCAAAACGTTTTCAAAACCCTCGCTCGCTTGCTTCTCCCAAACCCCCACTCTTCCTCTTCTCCACCACCTCCTTCTTCCTCTTCCCAACCGCTAAGCCGTTCCCCTTTTTCTTGTCTCACCATCTATAAAACTGCCCAAACCCTAACACCATTCCCCTTCCTCGTACAAACGAACCTACCTTTCCTTTCTCCCTGTTTCGGCACTTTTTCGCGGGACGGGGCTTCGGTTCCCGTTTCTCGGATTACTGGGTCGGCGGCGGTTTTCTTCGTTTGTTTTGCTTCTGAGAGATGGCGGGCTCTACTGCCGTTGCTGCTTCTTCCAGTAGTGGGACTCAGCCGCAGTCGCAGCCGGCGGCGCATATTATGTCCGCTAGAGTGAGGAAAACGATACAGTCGATTAAAGAGATTGTGGGGAATTTCTCCGATGCTGATATCTATATAGCACTCAAGGAGTCCAATATGGACCCTAATGAAACTGCCCAGAAGTTGCTTAGCCAAGGTTTTGCGCCTCTTCATTCCCCTTTTTTGCTGGCTTGTGCTGACGGTGTTTTTGGGGTGTGGAAACTTTTGCTTCCAGTAGATAAATGAGGGGTCTATGAAGGTGGTGCGTCTTCTGAAGTATAGAATAGCCAACTTGATACATTTTGCTCTGTTTGTCAATGTGGGGGACAAAGTTCAAGCCTTATGATTTTAAGAGTCTGAAAATCGTATCATTGCTTGAGCTGTGTCGGAAGATATGTGTGTTCCTCTTGGAATTCGGAATTATTGGCTCTTACAAGCTTAATATGATGTTATTCTGGTGCTAGGTGTAGTTTCATGCTCTTGGTGATCGTCATCTAATAATATGACTTGACAGTGAATTTTTGGCAATGTGAGGTTTCAGTATGCTGTAGGCAGCTTCTATAAGTGTTGGCAACTTTCACTAGGAGGTTATTGTGTTTGGTTCAGGTTGCGGAATGAAAGAAGCTTTTCTAATGCTTCATCTAAGCATTGGACTTTTGTGGTGCTAAGGGTTTAGAGCTTTTCATTGTTAAGTTGTCTGCAATGTTGTTTAATAGCCTATTTATGTGATGTAGGATCCTTGAAAGGTTCTAGGTCACAGCTCAGATGTAAGAATCTTCGTGCATGTCTGTTGGTGTGAGATAGTATTGCTATAACATTAGAATATTATTGTTTGATCGTCTTCCCTCAATAGTTTGTGGCTGCTCCCATTTGCCTGACTAGTGGTTAGCCTGGCAATGGTTCTGATAGATGGGGCATTTTTAAGTTTATTATGAGTCTGTTCCCCTTATGGTGCACTATTAGTACTTGTGTTACTGATGTTGAAGCACTATATCTTATTCAAGTTTGTTTCATTTTTCTTCTATCAGACCCTTTCCATGAAGTGAGGAGAAGAAAGGATAGGAAAAAGGAGGTATTCTACTTTCCATATGGTGTTTTTCCTCCAACTTTATTCTTGTTCTTTCTAATGTGTACTCATGGGTTTATATGCTTATGGCCTCAGACTATGGGTTACAGGGGTTCGGGAGAGTTCAGAAGAGGTTCTGAGAATTTTATTCAAGGAGTTAGGACATTTAATGACCGCAATGGCAGACGAGGAGGCTACATCCGCAATGCTGTCCCTAGCAGTAGTGGGCCGAGTAGAGAGTTTCGTGTTGTGAGGGACAATAGAGTCAATGGAACTATTAATAGAGAACTGAAGTCTGATTTTTCTGAGAGTTCATCGTCCAATGAGCATGCCGTCAAGGGGTATGTATGCTCATATCTTTTCCTGCACAGTTCAGAGTCAGAAACCTTTTGTTACTGCATTATCATTCTTTGACTAGTTGAGTGATTGATGATGCAAACATGAGGGATGAATATTGTTGATCTTTTTCATATTACACAATCATATGCGGCCACTCTGTAACTTCATAGTTTCTCACATGTTTTGTGTGTTGATTCCTCTCTAGGTCAACTTCGAAGTCAAGTGCTCTGAAAGCGTCTGCTGAACTCGGTCCCTCTCAGGCTACTAATGGTCCTACTGTTTCTCAAGGTGTTAGACACAACAGAGATGGTAACTTGAAGGGAACTGAATCGAGAGCTAATCTGGATGAGAAAAGGGCAGTGACACCCGGTGCGGCTTCACGAGTACAGGGAGGAAGACCTAACAGTTCTCAAAACCAGTCTACTACTGTAGTTGGAGTGTACTCCTCTTCAACAGATCCTGTTCATGTTCCATCTCCTGATGCCAGACCAACTGCTGCTGTTGGAGCTATCAAACGTGAAGTTGGTGTGGTGGGTGGTCGCCGACAAAATATTGGAAGTCCTATAAAAGATCTATCTGCAACTAGTAGTTCATTGCCGAGTTCTGCATTGACCAAGGATAGCTCTTTGTCAGAGCCATTCCAACCTTTTCTTGGAATCTCTAAGAACGACCAAGTCAGTCATCAAGCTAATGCAAGTGAAGCTGTTGCGTCTGGTGTTTCTGTTAGCAGATCGTTCTTAGGTGGTCAGTATAACAGCAGACCTCATCAGCAAGCTGCAGGTCATCAAAAGGGTAAAAGCCTCATGGATATATGATTGTGCAGCAATAGTTTGTTTATTCTTTTAATTTTTGACTAAAAATTTGCTTATATTTTGTGACCCTTTATGTGCAGCTCCTCAGCATAATAAAGAGTGGAAACCTAAAACAAGTAAAAAGTCTAGTGCCAATGGACCTGGAGTGATCGGAACACCCAAAAAATCAAGCTCACATGTTGGTGATAATTCTAAGGGATTGGAAGCTGTAGCTGCTGATTTGCCTGATAAGTTTTCTCGGGCGAACATCAATGAGAACCAGAACGTGATCATTGCGCAGCATATTCGAGTGCCTGAAACAGACCGTTGCAGGCTTACCTTTGGAAGTTTTGGGATTGAGCTTGATTCCCCCAGGAATTTGACTGCTGGATTTTCAACAGTTGGAGTTACAGAAGAAAGTAACAGGGAATCTACTACAAGGTTTGCGTTTTAATCACATAGTTCATTATTGATGATTCTGCACATCTTTACAGTATACTCGTTTGCTATGGATGGCCATGAATAATTGTCAACTGAACTCATTTTATGATGGATAGATAAAAAAAAAATTATGAATGAAATCTTTTTGTTGAGGAAATAATATACCTCAATGGAAAATCTGACGTTTTTGTTTAAATCCAAAAGGTTGAGTTGTTCTATGGGCCACAACTGGGGGCTCCTTACATGCAGAGCCTTGTTTGTTTTAAATAAGGCATCTCAAAGCATGTCTATCTATTTGATTATTTTACATAGTCAATTAGAATAAGTATCTTTGCAATGCTGTTGGAAGCTTGTGAAGTTAGTGACAGAATTTTTATCCTGATGACAGTTTGACCGCATCTGTTACGGAGTCTACTGGAGATGATGCTTCTGGTACCAAGATCGATGCAGTATCAGATGAGAAATTGAGACATTCTGGCTCCGCTTCTCCAGCTTCCGGTGGAGCATCTGAGCCACAGTTGCCTGATAAATCTCCTAGTTCTCCGAACTTGGATAATTATTCGGATATTGGTTTGGTTCAAGAAAGCAGTCCGTCTTACGATCACATCGAGTCACACCAGCAGCATCAAGATCTTTCTGAATCACAGAGCTTTCAAGTGAGTTCCTTATTCCAGCAATTACTTCAACATTCTTGTTCTGGATTCGGGAGACAAAATTTGATCTGCATTTTTTGTTCAAGCAGGGGTATGATCCACAGGTGGGTTATGGTATGTCGTACTTTAGACCTTCATATGATGAAACTGCAAGAGGACAGCAGGGTTTGCCTTCTCCCCAAGAGGTAAAAATTTATACAGCTTTCTTGAATGTTTAATACATGCTTCACTGATGTTTGCAATATTGCTAATTTTTTACACTTATATCATAAAATAATGCGATTTTAGTATTCTCGATCTAGGGTATGGGCAAACGTTGTCAGCTGCTACCCATAAAATCCTACAATGTATGAAAAACTCTTTAGAAGTTCCTAAAATCTATATGCTGACAACCATGGATCTTTGCATTATTTTTTATGTATTGATTGCAGTCTCTAGCTTCACACACTGCCCACAGCATTCCGTCATCCACAATATCGATGGTACAGCAGCAGCAGCCTCAACCAATTGCCGCTCAGATGTATCAACAAGTGCACATGCCCCATTTCGCCAACATGATGCCCTTTCGCCAATTTGTTTCTCCAGTGTACCTACCACAGATGGCCATGGCTGGCTACTCGAGCAATGCTGCTGCATATGCACACCCATCGAATGGCAGCAGTTATGTGCTAATGCCTGGAGGTGGGTCTCACCTCAATACGAATGGGTTAAAGTATGGCGTTCAGCAGTTCAAGACGGTTCCTGGTAGCAGTCCCTCTGCTTATGGAAATTTCACTAGCCCAACTGGATATGCGATGAATGCTCCTGGTGTGGTTGGGAATGGAACAGGACTTGAAGACCCTTCTCGGATTAAGTATAAGGATGGAAACCTCTACGTCACTAATCCACAGGTAATGTGTAAACTACGTTGGTAGAATTCGTCTTAGAAATGAATTGACCTAGAGAACTTATGAGCTTCGTGTGGCTCTGATCACTGGGTTACTTGCGATCTTCGTTACGAATGTTACTTTGTCATTGAGAGTCGTTGGAAACCTTAGGGTTTTTTTGCATTAGATTAATGCTAGTATGTGTGCATCAGCGATTAGCAATGTGATTTCCTTGGCATGAATGTAGCACCTTCTGTTATAAGTTTAGGTGTGCTGAACTTTTTTTAGTGAAAGAATCCTGAACTTGATATTGTACTTTCGCTACTTGTTAATCTTTTTTATCATCTTGGTTACTTGCGCAAGTATTGTGTTTTGGTTTACTGAAACTGCAATGTTGGTTTTGGTTTCACAACTAAGTTTCCTTTGTCCCGATTGACCAAAACTGAAACAAATCCACCCTCTAGCCCTTTGCAGTTTCTTTTTTTCGTTGAATGCTCTATGCAGTTTCATGTTAACTTGATTGATGTTTTTTATTTCCAATATGTGGCAGGCCGAGACATCTGAGATGTGGATTCAGAACCCAAGGGATCTCCCCGGCATGCAATCTGCTGCTCAATACTACAACATGACAGGACAATCGCCACACGCTGCTGCTTATCTGCCGTCTCACGCTGGTCATGCATCATTCAATGCCGCTGCGGCACAATCTTCCCACATGCAGTATCCTGGGTTGTACCCTTCTGCACAGCCAGCTGGGATGGCCAACCCGCACCATATGGGTCCTCCAGTGATGGGCGGTGGCGTTGGTGTAGCGCAAGCTGCACCTGGTGGTCAAGTAGGTGCTTACCAGCAGCAGCCTCAACTGGGTCATCTCAACTGGACCACAAACTTCTGAAAGTAAAAAAGAGACAAATGTTCAATCTAACCCCTCACCTTTTTATGGGATTTTAGTATCTAATAGAAAGAGTCAAGTTTCCATTGTGAAATGAGAAGAAGATAGAACCCTCTTGAAATGCCATGTCCAAAGATGCAATTTTTTTCCCTTAATGCTCAATATTTCTGAGTCTTGTCCACTTATGCTGTCATTTTGCCATCCATTGCTCTATCTCTGTCCATAATCCCTTGAATCCAATTAGACAAATCAGAGCAAATCAGATGAAAATATTTTCCCAGTAGAAGGATCTTCAGGAAATGAAGAACCCTATTATTGTTACACGATCAGTTGGAAATTGTAACAAGTAAAAAGCATTTCTGATGGCACGGAACGAAGAAAGACTCGTGCTTTACCGTATTGCTCTGTTTACTGACGGATCAGATACATACCCACGAAAAAGCGAATCAAGACAGATCAAATCAAGCATGTGCTAGATTGGCATTCCCTAGTTGTATCTTCTCCCTGTGGGCTGTGGCTTTGTGCTTTACTTTGCCGTGGGAACGTAAAGAACCAAAAAGAGAGAGGAAGGGTGAAGAGACTAGAGAGAGTGCTCTTTTTGGTTTCTTGTTTCTCATATTGGGCAGTGTTATGGGTGCTTTGCTTTTATCAGAAGATGAAAAGAGAAGGGTCTGAAGAATATTTTGATCAATGGATGGTTCCCTTTTTCTTTTGTTTTTCAAATCTGTCCTTCCTTCCTTCCTTTCTTGGGATTGCCAAAGCGATTCTTTTTTGCACATATTTCTGCTTTGGTTTCAGGTTTCATGCCTGCTTGCTTTGCTGGTTTGTTTGTTCCCATCCTGGCAACTCTGCTTTTGGGCTTTACCAGGCTAGCCTATTGCCCTTCCTTTTTCTCCCTCTCTCTGGTTTTGGAGCCTTTAATCTTTGCTTTACTTCTGCACTTGTCTCTTGTTGTTTAGGTTTACATGTGAAGATCGATCTCCAAACTTCAAAGTTGTCACTATTTTGGGATCGATGCTGATGGGTGTGGGTGTGGGTGCGGGTGTGGAGCTAGCTGGTATCCCTAATCGATATTCTATCTTTCATGTGTTTATTTAGCACATCTATTAGTTGTTCTCCGGACTAGTCGATTTGTGACAATTTTGTTGTGCTCAAAAGACGCTTGTGAGAACGTGCTCATTAGTTAGATGTTTAATTGTTGAATTGCGTGTTATATAGGTGCTCTGTCGTTGGATGGAAGCAAATGCCAATTTGTTTACGAAATCGCCACCAGTTCCATCCAAATGTTGTATAGTACCTAGCGCGTGATGTCCGATGACCATGCATCTTTGTGAGTATGTTGTCACAAATTGGGATGTGATTTGTGGATTCTGGTATGCAAATAATTTCTATGTTGATTAATAAGTCTTGTAATAGAGGAGCGTCTATTCCCTCCTCCACGGCTCTCAGGCTTCTCCATCTTTCCAGCCTCCTTGAAGCAGCATTAGCTATTAGTGTTTTGTGGATCTTTCCTTCGCCTCTAGTTCTATGTGTTTTTAACTCCTTTTTTCACCTTTCCGGATTCTATTTACACTTGTTTTGTATCCTCGTAATAAAATCCTACATCACTAATAATCAAAATCACCCTTAAACCAATCAATCCAATTCAGCAAAATCCAACAAGAAACATCAATTTTTCAAATCGACAAAAGACATACATTCGTCACTGCTAGTACTTCATTTTCCAAGTCCAAAGTTTTAGCCAAAACATTTATGTTTAAACTCCAACAAGCAAATTAGTCAAGTGTCTGGTGAGAAGGGTTATAGTTAGGGTTGAGTAGTGAGTGGTAGGATTTAGGTAAATTTGGAACCACTCACTACGTGATGTATGAAAGAAAAAATGACCACATTCACTCATGCATGTACATGTGGGTGGGTTGGTTGATTGCAGTATGATAAGTGGTTGGGCGGGTTACGACATACATTCCAAAATGTCGCATGATTTATATTGTTCTAAATATAAGATGAAAGAAATCTTCAAACTAAATAACGTTTATTTCTAAAACCATATGCATCATTTAGCTACAATATCACTACTAGTAATTAAGTCTTATCATAAAAAATTGAAGATGAAGTTTCGTTATAAATCTAGCTAATCAGCCAAGTCTTGAGCCACAATCACTCAATGAACGCTCCTAAAATAAATATTAAAATATGCCAAATTAGTTACAAACGAGAAAAGTTAACAAGGAATCATATACGGAAGTGAAAATATAATATAAATTTCCAGCCATTGAAACAAATTTGACTTTGCTATTATCCTCAATAACCATAGCTTGGAGAAGATATTCATTTTCTTAACATTGGGAATAAATGATAACTAGAGATTTGAGAAAATCTTTTGAACCAAATTGAGGGAACTTTTTTTTGATGATTTTTAGAGTTTTTGTTTAGGCAAAATCATAGGTTAAAGATTCAAAAAGGTTTTAGGTTAAAAAGGTAAGTGGGTGTTTGATAAATTATATTCCACATACATCCACCCAATTTTTAGTGAGTCGCCTTTTTTACAATCCATACCCACCCATAAGAACCACACACAATATAATGAGTGGGTCTATTGCGAGTGAATTTTGGTGGATTTGTGGGATCAATCATCCAGTGCTCATCCGTAGTTATAATAATGGGAAGAGAATGATAGGTTGAATGGTTTAGATTGATATTTGATGAAGAAGTAGGTGTGGATATCGGTACGGTATCAGGGTATCCCTTATCGAATATCAAAATCCTGTATACCGAATGATGCCCTAAAAGCAATCACAAAATTGATCCCAAAATAAATTTGGTTTCCCAATACGAATCCAAAAAACTTTCGGAGTATCCCAGAATACCAAATTAATTACCTTCGTAATTGATAATGAGATATATACATAAATAAATAGATAATGGTTCGAACACCTCTAACCTTGAACATTTTTAGTGTAGGTTTGCAGGTTTAATTCCTTGATTGAAAACTTTGACGATGAGATGAGGTGAGAAAAGTCTAATAAAAACTAATTAAAGTCTCTATTGAAGACTCATCAAATAGTGTCCGTTGGGGCTACGAGATTAAGCAAAGTGTCGTGAGTTTGCCTAAAACTATGGCAAAGACGAAGAGAAGGTAGGAGATGGTGATATCTCAATAATTGTTTCTTGATAATTGTTGATCCGATGGAATGGAAGCTGAGAAATGACTAGCGAAGTGTATGTTTTTTGGTGTTCTTAAAATAACAAAATATTGAGTGTAAGACAAGAGTGACCCGGGAAAAAGGATTTGGGGCTTCTTGCTACGCTACTTAACTATAAAATCTCTTTTTAGTCAAATATATGAATAGAAAGACAGATCGATCATATCCGATTTCTATTTTGATATCTAAAATTAGAAAATTAAGGTTGGATTGGGTGGGGGTTGCAAGTTGTCTAAGTATGAGCAATGCCAAAAAATTGTGGGTTATATTTAATTAATTGTAAATTTTAGGTATTTTCGGTTGATATTTTGGTATATACTGATCTCAATTATCGAATAATACCCTAAAATCAACCATAATTTCAATTCCTAAAAAGTCGCTTGATATTCGGTTTTAATACCAAATAGTGATAAATTTGGTATGTTATTCAGTTTAATCACTATAGACATTGTTAGTTATCCTTATCAATGTTATATTTAAGGTAATAAAATGATTTACACATTAATCATATTCAACTCATTCATAATATGTTTCAAGAATTTATGTCATAGATATAAATTAGATGAGATTTCTAATATGTTAACAGATTATAATATTTCTTGCATTTATATTTCATACTCTTTCAATTCTTTCAAATCAAATTGGGTATTCTAATGACATGTACCCCTAGGTTCTCTCTACAAATACATACATCTATGGTTGAAATATATTCATTAAATGCAATGGACCAAACTACCCTCGACCCTACTTGGGAGCCAAAATTGTTTGCAAGGAGCAAGTTGACCATGACACATTCAAAAATGGGGACATGTTGTGTCAGACTGTCAGTAGAGCACGTGGTAATAATGCCCTAATGGTCCCTTTACTTTATAGAAAATCTGTTGCAATTGAAATCCCAAAGATTATGAACACTCGTGTAAACCAATAGATTTCCAATTGATGCCTTTTCCTTTTCCGTTTCGATCCATCAATTCCACGAAACCCTAAATGCGATGCAAGCCCCTCTCAAGTCTTCTTCACATTCATCTGTTGTACAGGAAAAAAGAAACTTCTTTCATATTCATACAAGAACTTTACTCTAAATGTATTACGCTAATGATTTATTTTCAATATTTACAGGAACAAGTCTATCCAAGTCCGTTATTGTCAAGGTCCAGACTTATTTCGTATGTCATTGCTAACTCACTGGCTACACATAACAGTTTGCCCCTCATTATGATTCGATTTGTTTTCAAATAACATATAATCATAGAGAATAAAAGAAACGATATTGAGTACTGTTACAAATCAAACCGAGACGTAAAGGAGCATGAGTCTACAAACATGTATTGACTAGGGGTGGCTATACGGTCCGGTCCGGTTAAATTGGCCCAAATATAAGGACCAAAGATTGGATTGGATACAGTCCGGTCTTGATCCGGTCCGGTCCCAATTCGGTCTTGATTTTATATTGAGCTTGTGGGGATTTGAGTGGCCAAAGGCCTGAAAGGGTGACGAGTTGGTTAAGTTTTGTACTGAGTGCAAAGGTTTGTGACCGTTTATGCAAATTACCCTTAAGTTTTGCGTGTTGAGCTGATGAGCTCTATTATCCGGTCTTTATCCAGTTTTTGATCCGGTCCAAAACGATTTTTTACCTCAAATCTAAGTCCAAAGATTGGATTGAATTGTTTACTATCCGATCCCGGTCCGGTCTCGATCTGGGTTATACGGTCCGGTTTCAGGTAAAACCAAAAAACTCGAACCAAATAGCCAGCACTAGTCTCAAAGAGGGAAACAACATTGGCGAATGAATTTCCTGATGAATATGGATAAGAAAAAATAATGTATCAAGGTATTTGTTAAAGATCACAATACATTAACGTAATTGCTAAAAGTATGTAGTAAAGAATGAAGAGTTAACTTACCAATAGATAAACATATATATTGGCAATATATCAAATAGGTCGAATATAGCTCAAACTGGTTTATACCATTATGCAGTTTGACAAGTGGTATGGTAAGACAGTTGGTATAATCTGTTTATATCAGTTCATGCCATTTTTAGTAAAACATGTAGAAAAACGAAAAAATTAATAATAAATGAATTTACAGATGAGTATATATAACATATTTGAAGACATTTTCTCTAAAATTTAAATTCATGTTTAAATAAAATAAGACATTTTAAACAAAAATAAAAAATCATAATATTTAACTTCAGCACCCCAAAATTCATACTTCAATCCAACAAATAACATAAACATCTAAACATTCATATTTGAATTCAACAAATAACATCAATATTGAACTTTCAAATTAAAGAAATTAATTTAAAAAAATTGTTAATTAAATTCATCGAAACGACATCAATTTATTTAAATGTAAAAAATCGATTATACCAAAAATACCTGT